GATTTCTTGATGATGGCATTCGAACAAGCGCATACGCTAAAGCCAACCTTTCACTGTGAACCCACAATCTCTTATCCTTTTCTTCATCGTCCATATCGAGCAGTACCGCATTCCGATCAGGAACATAACCGGCTCGTGTTGCTTTCAAGTTAAGCCATTCAAGCATTCCATTAATGAGCTTCATATCTGGATGATCTGATAATCCAACACTGAAGAAATGCACATCTCCTTGATGTTCTATCCAACTTAAACCAGGTTCCTTCTTTACACCCTTTTCCTTCATACTTTTCCTAATGGAAGCAACGTTTGCCCATTGTTTTACACCTGCGTACATGTTTGATAATAGAACATATGTTGCCTCGTCCTTTGGATTGATCTTTAGTATTTCTTCTGCCGATCTCCTTGCAAACTCTTCATTGCTCTGATTCATCGAGGCGCTTAGCATTGCCCTCCAGATCATAACACTAGGCTCATATGGAATCCCTTCAATCAGCTTCATTGCTCCGTCGAGACGCCCCGATCTTCCCAGTAGCCTGACCATACAAGTGTAATGTTCCAAACATGGTTCAATACCATGATCACGAATCATCGACTCAAAACAAACTTGACCTTGATCTACTAGTCCTGCATTGCTGCATCCAGAAAGAACACCAAGAAATGTTAACCCATTTGGCTTGCAATCACTATCCTTCATAATGTCAAAGATTCTCAATGCCTCTCTACCCAGTCCATGTGTGGAATAGCCAGAGATCAATGTATTCCATGAAGCTACATCTATCGTTTCCATCTCATTGAACACAGATTCTGCGACTTTGATATCACCACATTTTGCATACATGTCTATCAATGAGTTACTCACTGCAACTTTTTCGGCATTATTGGTTTTTATCGACAGTCCATGAACTTGAACACCGAGCTCCATGCTCGCCAAAGAAGCACAAGCACCAAGAGCACTTGAGAAAGTTACTTCAGTTACTGACACCTGATTTCTGAGCGCTTCACGAAACATGCTTAACGCTTTTCCTCCTTCACCTAGATTCTCATACCCGACAATGACTGTGTTCCAGCTTACCTCATTTTTACTAAATAACTCAGCAAATAACTTCACAGCGCTATCCATTTTCTCACATTTTGCATATACATCAATAAGAGCATTTGAGACATAGACATCCAAATCAAAGCCAGCTTTGACCACAAGACCATGGAGTTGCTCACCTAAACCAAAACACTTTCCGATGGCACATCCATTCAAAATACTGCTCAAAGTAAACTCGTTAGGGACAACAAAAGCTTCTCTCATTCGAATAAAAAGATCAACCGCCTCGTTGCAAAAGCCGTTTTGACAAAACCGAGCAATCATAAAACTCCAAGGTATCACATCATTCTTTGGCATCTCATTGAACACTTTGAAAGCAGCAGACATGTCTCCGAGTTGTGTATACAACTGAAGCAAACCAACACCTACACGAGGATCCAACTCATAACAAGTTTTTAGGATTCGTCCATGAACACCCTTGGCGTAATCAAAGGCGCCTAGTCCGATACTCGCCTTAAGCGCCGTATCAAAGGTGTAGTTGTTGGGCATGAAACCAGCCATCCCCATACAAGACAACAATGTAAGAGAATCCTCGAAATACCCGTTCTCCACATAGCATGACACAATTCCTGCCCACACAACAATGTCTTTGCACAAAATGCCCTCAAAAACACATCTTGCACTATCAACAGAACCACAGAGAGAGTAAGCATTAATAAGCGCAGCTCCGACAAAAGCATTGGAATCATAACCAAGCTTAACGATAGGAGGATGCAACCACCAACCAATCCAAGCTTTATCCAACCTGACAAACCACTTCAAGAAGGAGGTGAAGACGTGTGGATTAAGCTCATGACCCTCTCGCTGCAACCTGGAATAAAAACCAACGGGATCTTCACACGCATACCCTTGAATGAGAGTAACATACGAAACATTATTTCTCTCAGGAATTTCATCGAACAGCTGCAACGCATCGGTGTCAAACCCGGCTTTCACATAAGCGTCCAATAGAATATTTGTAGCGAAAAGATCCAAGCAGCTTCCTTTCTTCAAGATGTCGCAATGTATAGCCTTTGCTGAAATAGGATCGTTTCTCTGAATGCAGCGACGGAGCATTGAGCCGTAAGCATGGGAATCTAAGCCTGTGGCTACCGAATCCGACCATTCCAAATCCAATGCCGACTCGGCGGCTTGAACTGAAACCCCACATTGTCGAATGCGATTGCATTGGATCAATCCGCGACTCTCTGCAACATGGATTATTCTACAGAACCTGATCATGCGAATTGCGAGCTGAGGTCCTGAGGAGAGAAGACAAGTGTCTAATTTTCAAAACCGGTTAATCCCAATATGAGATCGACTATTTCAGGACAAAACCAATTTACAAAACGAAGATTGTTTGTGTAAAACATTAACAAGACATGGGCCGGTCCAAGTGACTAATGTGGCCCAAATACCATAACTAATCTAAAACTAGGGTTTCTCCCATTATTTCAACTATAAAATAAAGCTCTGGTTTTCTTTGCCTAACAGCCTCACTTATTCCTCTAGGTATATTTAGTTGTTCTTCTCCATACCTTATATTTTTAGTTTTTCAGTTTCTATGATTTGAAATTCCAAGCTAGTATTGTTGGAATAAGTGTTTTTCGGTTTTGTCTTTTTTTTTCCAATTATTTTTGTTCTTCTTAAAATTGATTGAAGGAATCGGATCAGATGATGAATTTTTTGCACTTACAACGGTGCTTTCCTATAAACCTTGCGGATTATATAAATCGAGCTTTTTAAAACTGATGCTCCGATCTCTTCAATCTAAAATTTTTGGTCTTATTTGTTTCTAGTATTCTATTTTGTTTTTTTGTTTGGGACTAAATCTCTCTGTTCAACATATTGAATGGCTCCCTAGCATTGTCAATATGAATATCCAAATGTTTAATCAACACACTCTGAAATTGTATTCCTTTACAGTTTACGTCCTTACAAACCCTCGGTTATCTCTGTTTTTTAACTTGTTAAACTTATGTGAATCAGATAGTTTATTTGTTTGGTGACGATGAACTGATGAACGATTATGAAGATTCAATTTGTTCGCTAGTTGATATATGAGTGTGTTCTGTTCAGATTCATATGGTCTCGTGTTTATTCTTCATGTTAAGAGTGAAAAACCTCTGGAATGATACGATCATATTCTAATATACCAAAAGGTGGTTTTTACACATCCGAGCCCTCTGACCATGTGCTATAAAACTTGATTAGATACTTTGGTTGACTCTAGACTAACCTAGCTAAATTTTGTTTTTTTAAATGATCAATTTGAATCACGAACTTGTTTTGTCATGAACTTTCTCTCTCTTATCACACTCTTCATCTTTCAGAGAGAGAAAGGAAGATTTCCGGTCTACCGGATTTTTTTGTTTGTAAAATATTAGCTTTGTCGGTCCTCCTTCCGATTATAAATCGGATCTTTTGTTCCGGTTTAAGTCCGGATGTGCTTTCTCGCATCTTGCGAGCTATTTTGATCTCATTCCATTTGTTTTAATCTTGTCGATTTACCGTTTTTACTCTTATTTCATCACTTTCCTTTGTTCATGACTTTAGAGCAATCAAAAAACTACATCGGTAAATTGTGTGTAGTTGGTGATGGAGCTTCCCGGAGTTGGTGATTCGTAGAGAGATTTGAAGAAGTTTTCATGTAAGATCCGGTGGTTTTTGACGATTCTATGAACGGAATAGAGATCGACAGAAGGGAAAAAGTTTACTTGTCGCACCACAGTTAATTCAAGACAGACGATCGGAACTTTGGCGACGCTTGACGAAAGTTAACGGTGGTTCTAAGATGATAAGACGCGTGGCTACGTGAAGGATCTAGCTTCTACACGTGTACCTCTGAATAAATATTGCTTGTTTTATCTATCTACTGGGCCTTATTACTTCGAGGGCAATTATGATTTAGTTGGGCTGTTGATTTTCGTTTTAATCATGTAACTGTATTAGCCTGTTGGGCTTTTCTTAATGAAACCTTTGGCCGACAAAAAAAAAAAAAGTTATAAAATTAATTAACCAATAGATTTATATCAAATCAGTCATTTAGTCAATAATGATAATAAACTCTTGTAGTATGTACAGTGTGCAGCTTTCGGACCATTGACTAATAAACTCTTGTAGTATGTATCGATGTCACTTAAGTACTCTCGTGAATCATTGCAATTTGAATGGTGCTATGCGGATGACTTAATCCATCACACTAGGTCGGCCGAAATTATGACCTTAATTTCAAATATGTATGGATACGAGTATTCATTTCAGCTCACAAGTTCTAAGTAGGTTTGAGCATTTTGTTATTTGTGTTATTCTTTTGGTCATTTTTTTTTTTTTTTGTGTATGGACAGAATTTAAACCCACATTAATAAGATTTTCGTAGGTTATAGGAAGGTTAAGGGTATATGAAATTTTGTTGTTTTCTCTGTTCAACTACGTATGACATAATTGTGGTGTAGTTCACGAGAAGTCTAGAAGATGAATCCAGCTACTTGATCTTCATCACGATGGTTTAATTGGTAAATATAAGAGCCTAAATATAAAGACACATTAAATGGTAGTTCAGTTTGGTTTCTTAAATCCTGACCGGTCATGCCATTGTTAGTGCTACTGATGGATACTATTCGATGGCTAATAGTCAAAAAGAAGACACACAAAGTACGCTCACGCTATCCCTTCTCTTCACCTTATTGCCACAATTTACATATTCCACCAAACTCTTCTGAACACGTAAGACTCTTGACGTAAAGACCAAAGACATGCTAGTCGGCACGACTAGGCCGCATTAATTACTACTATTACTCACGTGTTTCTTAAACTCAATTCCATTATGTTAATAAGGACAAACCATGCCAACTAATATAGTAATTAAATTAAAGTCGAATGTGCACATTTCTTTTTAATATACACATACGGAAGCTTCATGACAAGTCGAAAGAGGCGTGTTCATTTTCTTTTACAAATACTTAAAAAAGATTAAAACAAAAGTCTGTGACACCATCATATAATAGTATCAATGAGTCATTAAAGATGATAATTGAACACTTAAAAGAAAGTAGAAAGAAAAAAAAAATACCGAAATATATATAGAAGTATATATGATCTTAGTAGGTGTAACGTAATCATCTCCTAAAAAACGTGTTCTAAAACAGTATACGCATAAGCAACAACGAAGGCCATCGATTCAAAGATGAGACTGGGGAGAGAAGAAGCCAAAATGCAAAAGGAACACATCGATGTCTTTGGGAGGGAGTGAAAATGACAATTTTGGTCCATGTCCCAATCTTAAGAAAGATATCGCTTTTTAGGCCGATGTCGGATAGTAAGGAGATGTCGATACTAATCTGCAAACACACACGAAAAGATAAAGAAAGACGAAACAATGTGAAACCGCGTTTTTCATAGTTTTTCAATGTAGAAAACAAACAAACGTTCGATTCTACTCATTTTCTCATCATTACTAAAACGAATCATCCTATTTTTTGTAGTGCTAGTGGCTTAAGATAACTTGATGCTGTAGCGAACACACACACACACAAAAAAAGGAGAGTCAAAGTCAACGCGTTTTTGAAACAACTCTACGTAGTGCTAGAAGCATGTGCGTTATTGAACAAAATCTACAGTTTGTGTAAGTAAAAAGAGACACGACTTGCAATAATTTGTTTTTCATGGGTATTAATGGGATGTTAATAAATACTAGTAAAAAAGGTCGACACAGAGAAAGGTGAAAAAAAAAAGAAGACCTTTGTAATAGTTTATTTTCGGTGGGTAAAAAATCCTTTGGATTCGTTGGAGAATAATTTACCTCTCCTTGCGCTTCTCAAGAAACCTTAGCAATGACTTTCTCCTTGCGATGGGAAGATCTGTATTACACACACAAACAAGTTCCTCTTCATCAGAAACTATAACATATGTCTACTACAACGTACGTACGTATTCCATAGATATATCTAAGTTATAACTTAAAGAGTCTTTCACATGTTTTTCTTTCTTTTTTTGTATTTGCTGTCTTCCATCTAATCTAATTCAAAACTAATTATCAACTAAATCCTCGCTGTTCGCTAACAACAAACTCTTTCTTAAATATTTTACATGTAACGATAACATACTCTTGAAGAGTCAAGAAATGCGTGACTCTTTTTTTTTTGGTAAATATTTTTTGTTTTATAATACGACTAACCTCCTTCTAGATTCTGGCCAAAGAGCTTTGGTCTTAGAGTAGTCGGAGTAATTACCGAAAGGTCAGTCTCAGTCTCCGTCGACGATGTGTCTTTCTTCGACGCTGCAGTTTCATTAGCCACCTTCATAATTTCCTCAGCCTTGTTACGAGAAACTTTGTAAACGGATACAGTTCCATTGTAAAAAATTGTCATAGGTACGGTTCCAGACACAGCTTCCGTACTTGGCCTGCGAATATTTTTCAAAATTTTGAAATTCAAAAAGTTGTTCTTTTTTTTTTTATGAAAGCGCCAAAAACGTGAAAAGAAAAAAAGGTACCTGGCGAGAGACGCGTGGACCGGAGAAATGGGGATCTGAGGTAGTTGATGTTCCCTCGGAGTAGACGGAACAGAAGAAGATTTGGCCGATGAGTCAGTATTATGGTTACCACCACCGGAAGCTAACAAAGATTTTATTATCTCCGGATCGATCTTCGATATCGCTCCTTGTATCTCTATATATCACAAATTAAATTTTCTTTAAAAAAATAATGGCATAAGCGTTCAGAAGAAGAGGTGAAAAGTGAAAACAAACCTCGGAAACTACGACGACGGTCGAGAAATTTCTGGAACTTAGGCTTTGGAGCGTTGTTGGTTTGGTGCTGCTTCTTCTCAACACCGAGGAAGTCAAGTTCTACGGTAGCTCTAGACATATCTTCTTGGATTCTTAGAGATACAACAGACTAGAGAGATCGAGAGAGATGAAAGATGAAAGAGAGATTATTTAGAGATGATGAGGAGGAGGCGAGAGAGCAATTAAGTAGATAAAGAAAAAAAAAGATGGAATTGATTGAATTTTCATTTTTCATGTGAGAGAGTTTATAAAATATATACCATCATCATCATTTAACGCACGAGTTTCATGCTTTCTCCTTTTTCTTTTCCGGCACAATTCGGGCAGCAGCAGCAACAGCAAACTCATATCCACTTTTTTTTTATTTTTTTTGTTTCTTTTTGTTTTTGTTTCTTTTATTTGTTTTTATTAGGCTTTTCTTCCCCCCCCCCCCAACCTCTCTTCTTATCTAATTACTTTAATGTTTTTTAAAACACATGTTTTATTGTGTTTAATATTATTTAATAGACCTAATGTAATGGCTATTATACGCAGAAAGAAGAAGATATTTCTTTTTTTCTCTTTTTCATTTTTGTTTGTTTGTTAAATTTTCCCGGAAATAACGGATGTCCAGTGAACATAGTAATGGTTCTGAAAAAAAAAATATCTTACAAATTTGGTAAGTAACCATCCCACAAACATGTGTTTTTGTTACTGTTCATCCACATTGCCTTTCTTCTGACATTTATTTATACGTTTCTTCTACTCTAGTCTTTAGATCTGTACATTTTTCTCCAAACATGTTTTTCCTTTTTCCGTTTTATCTTCTTCTGATGAATTTTATATGTTTACCTCACTAGTTACTAGTTACTACTACTCACTAGTGTATATATATAGCTAATCTCATCTAATAATATAGTCAGTCTCATTGAATTTTCAAAAGAAACTTTCAACGTTGCTGTTCAAGAATTGTCTATTTTTGTTGAACTGATCATTGTAATTATAGACGGTATTGGAATTACTTTTCTAAACATAAGCACACCAATAAACTTTTCATATTACAATCAGCGAAGTAACGAATATACAACAAACCTAGTGATCAAGAACTATATAGTTTAAGTTGATTTGTAAGACTGCAAGTCTGCAATGGAAGGTTTTCAAATCAAATCGAATCTGGAAAAATCAGGTCAAGTCGGAAGTTTTGTCTTCTGCCAAACAAAAAAGAAGAAGAAGAAAGACTCGGTCGTTAATAAATAGTTAAAATTACAAGAACCACCTACATACATACATACAGAAGAGAAAAGTATGATGGGCAAATAGCAAAAAGATGAAATAAAGAGAAAGAGTTTAAGATGCATGTCGTTCACGTGTTGAGATGTAGCAGTTAATGCCCTTCCAATACATCACTAATAAACTATAGAGATAGGCAAGGGGCGCACTTGTGTTCTCCATAAAAGTCTTTTGTTTTAGGGTTTTCGTCGCTCTCTTTAATCTTCTCACGTTCTGTGATTTGACTCTAGAGCCTCTCTCTCTCTCCTCTCTAAACCGAGTCAATACGTCTTCTTTTTTCTTTTATTCCTTTAAGTTGAAGGATTTTTATTTTATTTTTAGTTATCTCTCACGTTTTCTCTGTGCTGCCTCGGAGTTTTTAATCTCTCTCTATGTATGTTTTAAGCTGACTAATTTGCCCCTTTCATTTACCGTTCATATACCAACTTTGCCCTTCTTGTGGTCTTTAATCTCATCTAAAACATATTGTTATCTTTCAAATTTTTTATGGACTCTCTTTAGGCCCAATATCTGTATATTTAAAGTTCAAACACTAGCAGCGGCTCGGTTTACTCTCTTTTTTTTTCTTTTCGGCTCAATTGTTTGCATTAAACATTAGTTTATACAAGGCCCATTCTATTAAGAAAAACCCATTACAGTGAAGCCGAAACATGATTGTTTCGCTCCTTGTACATAAAATTCATATATTGGGGAGATTTGCCAAGTGCATACTTGATCAACCAACAGAAGTTGATCAATTAAATTTGCTCTCAAGCTTAGAAGTTAGAAGTCTATGCTGTTGGTTGTTTAACATATGTAAGAGTTTTTTTTGTTCCAGTACTTGATATGAAGCTTGAAAGAAAGAAATAAATGTAGTAAATGTGAGTTTTATTCAGAGATTAAGGATATAATGTAACAGCCTACGATCCCTATATTAGTAAAAGAGAAATACAAAAAGTGTTTCCGGGTGGGGTCAATTTCAAAAAATTACCCGAAATTTGTAATTGGATCTTTTAAAGTTGGATAGATTAATGAGTTTAGATACATACACCAGATACTTTCCAAATCTAATTTTAGGATTATATTATTTCCATAACTAATTATAGAATTTACTAATATTTCTCTAACTAATTTAATATAATCTATTAAAAAAATATTATTCTTCTTTCACTTTTATTTGATGTTATTTTTAATTTATGATATTATATTATATAATATAAATATTAAATAAAAATTTAACTTTTTTGCATATGTTGCAATTTGAATTTTTCAAAACGGACATATAATACTCAACTACACTCGGTTAAATATTTTGGACAATGGTTTAAAATCATTATAAGTATGACCAATATTAAAACCATTGTTACATGAGCATATTTAAAATTTCAAATAGTTTCAAAATATTATAAATAATAGGTTCAAATATATAAAACTTTTAGAATTTAAAATATTGAAATATTTTTTTGAAGACGTAAATGTAATTTTAGAGGCATAGTTTTTATTGATAAAATATATTATATATCAAACTATGTAAATTTTAGATAATTCACGGGTAATTTGTTAAAATCACAATTATAATGATAAAGCGAGTTACGAATAATGTTTTTTACGAAATGAATTATGTTACGGGTCGGACTTTCAAAAAATATATTGTAAATATGTAATTTTTACGTGTATTCCTACTTTTACTACAAAAATAGTCAAAATGAATAATTTATCGACAATATTATTTCGTGATGTTAAATTTTCACTGTGTTTTTAATTGTATCAAAACTCAGTATATGATTATTTACTCACTTTTTCTTTATTATTTTATTTAAACTTATTATACAAATATATGATTTACCGTAATCGACTGCACTCTAACAAAATTAAAATGTAACATATTCTAATCCGTTAAAAGTTATATATATATTATATATAATTATTTCCCCCGCGCTGTAGGGCGGGTCCGAACCTAGTTAAAAGGTAAAACAGAAGCCAAAGACAGAAGAATATTCCATCAATCAATTACAACAAGTGTCTTGTACTCATCTCTAGATATAGCAGCCTCCATCATCATCATGGGATCGATCTCTCCGTCATTTTCCAAAAACACTTTCATCAAGTTCTTCGAAAACCCACTCACCAAAGCCACTCCTTTCCTGTTCCCCGGCACCGGCGTTGACATCGAATCCCTCAAGTTCCAAAACACTATCTCCGGCACTGCTTCACCGTATCCTTTCTCTCTGTACTTCCTCACAATCACCTCATAATCTGTTTCCCACCCATTGCTCGGAGGATGAGACGGCATATTCCACCTATCCCAAGTCGGCGGCTGCCTCGGCAAGGCTTGATCAAACTCCATATCACTGAACACAAACACCCTCTTGATCATATCCTCAGCCTTGAGCTTCCCTTTTACAGCCACTGTTAGAATCAAATCAAACACTTTCTGAAAATCAGTGTTAGCTCCCCACTCCATTCTCCTCACGAACTCTGTTTTCGAGTACAGGTTGTCTCCTTTCACCAATTGCAGTTGCGGGTTTTCGCTGAAGGTTATTAGCTTCCCTCTCCATGGCTCTTCAGACAGCTCAGAGACGAGCAAACCAAGCGCGACGGCAACCTCCATTGGATCACCTTCCATAGACCCCGAAACGTCAGAGATAGCGATGCAATTCTTCAAAGTGCCTTTCTTTTTAAGATCATCCACCATTCTTTTCCATTGCAGCTCCGCCACTTGTCCACCGTCTCCGTCTTTTAAACTTCTGATTATCTCGTGAGGCAGCAGAGCACCGGCGGCCAACTTAGTTTTCCCCGTCTTCGCATCGTCAAGATACTGCTGGAACCTCTCTGCGTCGTGTTTCAAGAATATCTCCTTGTAAGTCTTCATCGCCACTGACGCTACACGGTTGTACGGAAGAGATCCCCAGTCACTCGCTCCCATGTATAACTCAGGGAGCTGTAGAGTTTTCCGGAGAGGAACAAGGACTTGTTTCCTTAGCCGATCACGAACTCTGTAAGCGTAGTGAGCCTCTTCAACGCCTTCGTATTCAGGGAATGACTCACGAGGAAAGATCTTCCTAGCAATGCTCTCGCAGAGAAGAGTTGCTTTGTCAAAAGCAGAGTCAAGCGACGGACACCACTTAGCCGCTAGAGAGATTTTGTTGGTCTCTCCGGATGTCAAGAACTCTACATCTCTCTTCAGGTGATCCGCAAATAGCTCGGAGACGCGTTCGTGGAGAAACCTATAGTCGGGATCGTGAGAATATCTTGTAAAAGCGTCCTTCCCCATTGAAGCCTTCTTCTTCTTCCGCTCCAAACTCGCTCTAACTTTCTCCTCTAGGTTCTTCCTCTCTGCGTTCGCTACCCTTAGCTCTCTCGTCGCAGCTGGCTTCCTTTTGCCCCGACGACCCTTTCCACAAGAACGACCACCATAAGACGTTTGGAATTCGAAACGAGCTCGAGATGCTTCGTCTTTCCTCTGGTACCTTTCAGATTTCTGGATCTTACGGATTTCAGCTCCTTGTAGAATCCGGTAAAGAAGCTCGGGAAAATCTTTGAAGTAGCCAAATTTAGAGAGTGGCTCCAGGTTACAAGCTAGGGTTTTGGGATGACGACCATGAAGCCACAACGCCGCCGTGTAAAACCCTTCCTTGTCGGATTTTCCGGTGCCACGGACTCCACGAAGGTTACATATAAGCTTGAGAGTGGTCAATGAGTCGTGGTCCCAAGCCACGTTAAGCCGCTGCTCTATAGATTCCTTGCGCGTGCTGGGAACAACGTGGAAGAAGAAGTCGAGGCAGGGGTTCCCTGAGGACAGGTACGTGGCTGATCTGTTCTCGGTGTAGCCCATCGGAGGTGGAACAACTAAGTTGCCTCTGGATGACTTGTTGAAGTTTGAGACCATTGCGTCAATGAATGGGTCGCTTGGACCAGAAGCTGTGGTCGGATATGGGAGGAGAGAGTTGGGATCACGAATCTCTGGTGGACCAACCAAGGGAGGAGACATGGTTCCTTTAGAAGAGATGATGAAAAATAAACGATTAAGAAAACGATTAAGAATTTAGAAGAGATGTGAATGTTCTGTGTTATTGAATCAAAGACGGCTAGTTGAACTTCATATTTTATACGAAGTATATAAGCCGACTCTTACAAAAGAATTTGCATATAAGCCGACTAATAAATATAATTAGGGCTTCCTAAAGTTTATTTTGTTCTTCTGATAAAGGAGGGCTTCCTAAAGTTGTTACAAACTGATATCGATAATTTCTATATAACAAAAGATATTAGAATATCAAAGAACTTCGATACCCAATGAAATGTTAACGTGGTTGTTTTGGTCTTTATACAAAAAGAAACTTAGGGATCACGTTCTTTCGAAAACATTTTTAACCTTATTGATAGTTTATAATAGTCAAAGTCGAATAGTCAAGATCCGACTTTTCCGTGGAGATGAAGGTATCGAGTATCGACGATTAGAAAAGTCTCGTTTATTTATGAAATGATAGAAATATGTCTTTAGTATTTCGTCCACCACTCTTATTCCTCATCACTAATAAAATATTTGCTACATCTGACACTCAGAGTTGCTACATCTGACACTGAGAGAAGACGACTTATGTACTTGTTTGAATATTTTAAGGATTTCAAAACGTGGAACGGACAGTGGGAAAAATAATATCTGACAGAAATGAAAACAAATGTAAGACATGGATAATAAAACTTAGCTGTGTACGAGTTAGCAGAAAATTCCAGCTTACATGTGATAGTGGAAGCTGGACAGCTGGTAAAGGTAAATTAGTATTGCAAAAGATCAAGTGTCTGATGGCGTTTTATGGGGAGATATCTAGAATTCGCCTCAAAGGTCGTTAAATTAATTTAAATGAAACTAGTATTACAAAAGAGATCAGATATATCAAGTGAAAACCAAACTATATTAACACAAGACGAATCGAGATCGGAGACTCACAAAAGTCCAGCTCTGATGCACAATTTACATATATGTATAAACTTATATAAGCATCTGCAAGGGAGAAACCAACCATACAAATAAAGAAAACCAAAGTCAAAAAGACATAGAAACATTAAAGAATATGGTTTTAACCAGACACAGAGCCGTGTGCGGTTTGAAAATCCGAGACGCTAGTGAGCAGATGATGCGAAGCCTTCTCGTAGTTCACAAAACCCATGAACCAAAAGTCATGCCCGTCCACCGTCGTCAGCTGAATATACTTCTCAGGCGGAGTCTCCTTCATCACAACCGGATTAACCGTAGCAACATTCCCCAACGGTATCACCACCTGCCACAAAACCAAAACAACCAACATTATACTTCAAAATTTATCTCACAGTCTCCAATTTCATTTGTTAATAACAAAAACATGACTTTACCCTGTAGTAGCTCCAAGCTCCTTGGCCAGAAGGTGCTGCGAAGGAGAGAGGACGGTCACTGCAGAAAGCTACACGAGCATTAGAGAGATAGATAGTTCCAGCGACAGGTCCCGTCGTCGTTGAGAGGTAACATGCGAAAGTTTTCTTCAGCCTCTCGTTTGGCTCTGTTCCGAATATCTGCCGGAACAGCGACTCGAATCCTCCCTCTGTTATCGCCTTTGCCGTCAAATTAACCTTTCCCCATGCCGTTTGCGACATAGATGGCCCTGTCTTCACTGCAGACACAACAACACCCACAAAAAAAGACTCAAACTTGATTGTTCCAAATGCTCCAATTAAGAAGAAATCAACAAAATTCATCAAAATTGCTGCGTCGAAATGATTCAATTAAGATAGTTCCCAAAACAATTCATCATCAAATTAAGTGGAAGGAGACTTACGATTGTGCCAGAGGTTACGTGCGACGGTTTCAGCCTTGTGGCTCCAGGTATGGAACATTCCGATGACTGGCTCGAGAGGGCTGTTGGTAGTTGGTGGATGTTCGACAGGAGAGTAGATGACGTACGGTTGGTACTGAGTCTGATGGTTATCTCCGGCGACCCACGCCGCCGCTTGTTGGTTATCGGGATGAGCTACGGGAGCAGCCGGAGCTCCCATCACGTGAGTACCCCACTTCTTCTGATCCGGAGACGAAGAAGAAGGTTGTTGTTTTTGGTCCTCTGTTTCTAGAGTTTTGAATGATCTGAGGCTGAGGCTGAGGCTGAGGCTGGTGAGTTTCTCCTTGTTGCGTTCCTGTCATGTCTGAAAATTTCTGAATTGGTTGACGATTCGAGAATCTTCTTCTTCTTCTTCTCGGGTTGAAATGGATTTTGGTGGGTTGTGCCTTAACTTTGATATTTTAATTTATAGGAAAGGGATAATACAATACAAACGCGGTTTTGGTGTTAGCCTTTGGGATTAAGAGTCGGACTATTTTAAGATGGGAATTAATTTTTCTGAAATCCTAAAGTCCCTTAACCAATAAGATAAGAACACCAAAATGGTTTCGTAGAAATGTTATTAATAAAGATTACAAGATTTTGGAACACACATACTAGATTGCCGTGTCATTCAATGATTACATTTTGCTATAATCTTCTTTGCAATAACAGTTATGAATTTAGGAACAGATAAGAAAGATGAAGAAGATATTAATATGGTGTGATCGTGACTTGCGTGACATGGACTCTCCTTTTGTCGGCAAATAAGGCCTAAACACGTTCTTCTTCCTTTGTAGACTAGAACGACTGGGCCTTTGACTATTATCAGGCCTTTGGAACCCATTACCAGATATAAGTTCTTTCTTTAAAGGCCCATTAAGTGTGAGTCTCATCTTCTAGACGGGGCGGGATTCAAATTCCTAAGCCTGTCTTCGAGAAGATTCAGAGGAGAATCATTCGAAAGGGTACTCAAAATTAATCAATTAAAGTAGGCGTGTTGTAATCGTCAAAGATTTGGAACTTTCGCTTAAATCTTCCTCAACATCTTCTTCCGCGTAATTTTCCCTGGAAACTCCATTTTATTATCTCGATTGTGATATTCAATTTTCAAATCGTTGACCGAAGAAGACATTAAAGAATATGGCGAAAGAGGGAACAACGGTGATCGGAGTTCCGTATTACGCGGGGCAGAATCCCTACCAGGCCGGGATTGTGCCGCCGAACGCTATCTACGGCGATCCTTTGGGTGCTCCGATCCAGCAAACGATTTATCGCGACACTCCTGCTCCTTTCAATTGCCTTTATTGCGGCAATACTGGTCTCACCAATCTCAGGTATTTCAATCATTCATCTATACGATCTCTTAGAGTTGATTGTTTAGTCAAATCGTTGTGCCCGCTCGATTATAGAATCATCCTGTATATGTCATCGTCGTGTGAATATGCAATCGTCATTAAGGGATCCATTTCAGCTTATTCCATAATTGGATACGAGATAAACCTACCCTACGTATGTATTGCCTCTACTCTACTCCTTCCCAGTGGTTTAAGTATGAGAGATGTGGAATTTAGGTTTTGTTTGATCGATGTCTTAGTTTGGGTATTTTTTGGTTTCAGGATTTTCATTAGCTATAGAATGTGTGATCGATTGTAACATCTTGCTTACTAACTGTTGCAAATTTTTTATCAGTTAATGTTTGTACTGTGCGCTTTGATCCTGCCAGTTCTTGTTAATTTTACTCGGCGTACATGCTTAAGCTGAAGATAAATTGTGCTTTAAGCAGCTCATGAAGTTAATCTGCTTCACATTGTCTAGTGTCTCGGCATTCACGTTCAGGGCCTAGTTTATTCATTGTTATCCAGACACTCTAGATTTCATTTTTTAAGAACATGAGACTACTATATATTCATTGTCCCAACCTTTGCTATTATGTGCATTTATCTTCTTTCTTGTTTACCTTCACTCTGATTGTGATATATTGTTTTTATCAATATTTGGATTTGAAACAGATCAAAACCTGGTGTTGCTGCTGTTGTTGCTTGTATGATGCCGTTTATGCTTGGATTCTGTTTTCTGTGCCCGTCAATGGATTGCCTCTGGAACAAACAGCACCATTGCCCTCAGTGTGGGAACAAGGTATTTTGTTTTGTCTTCATCTCGCCTGCAACTCTTTCTTGTTCCCTTTTTCCTGTATTAAAGATGTTTCATTCATATGATCTATTTGTTTACAGGTTGCTGACTTTGATAAATCAGATCCCTGCCTGGTGATGGATCCGCCTCAGTGGAAGCAACCTAGCTTTGCACTCCCTGCATGATGAGATGTCTTCTTTTTTATTCTGATTAATATTGTTTGTGAAGTTGAGTGGCTCTATTGCATGTACTTAAAAAATATGTAAGATCCAGATTAACCCTATAGAATGTGTGAGAAATGGAATATGAATTGAACTGTTTGTGGTCTTGATTCTTTTTCTTTCTTGGCTAAGACAAGACGCATATCTTCACCTACAGAGATTCTCGTTGTCCGAGCCTGCTGCCAAGTTTGAACCCGGCTTGTTAATGCTCTGGTATAAGTTTTCAAGATCTAACTTGGTTTCGATTTATGAACCACGAGCCTGTCCATGGTTAACTTTAGAAACTAATAGGACAGATTCCTGGGGTTTAACAGACCAGTCTTGAATTTGCAAGATGAAAAAAAACTAGTCAGATGGGTCGTCTCTGTGAGGACCGGGCTGGTCCACAGGCTTCTGGTCGGTAATAACAACCCTACAAATCAGAGTAGGCACAGCCTTACAACTACCTCATGTCACAAGTCCTTAAGCACTCCGTTGCCATGAGACCCAAAAATTCAACTCTATGAAACGGGGACTTTAAGATCATCGTGTATATCCACTCGTCTCCTTGTCTCTCACACACTGATTTTTGTGGGCAAGGCCAAAAGGAATATAGAATCTGTAACTGCATAAGGTGTAAAACCATTTGTGAGGAACTCGTATCTGCTCACCATCAGCCCAAAAATTACAATATAAACAGATCAGATTGTGGGTTCTGTGAGCAAAGATTTTAAAAGCAGTTTGAAGTGTTTAGGTTTAAGAATTCTTTCTGGAGTGGAGTTCATAAAATTCAGAAATATACTTTAAATTAAAACATGGTGTGTTTTTACACATTTTCTAAGATTTTTATCTACCAACACAGGAGAGTTATTGTTGCTAAAATTTTGAAGAAATCGTAAATTTGACCATTTGTTCCGTCTAGTATTTACAAAAGTAGTAGTATTAAACTCCTCTAACAAGTGTTTGATTAAGGTAACATCAAGTCATGTAAATAATCCCTCAGCAACTTGAATAATGAGTATTGATATATCTTTTGTGGAGTTTTGATAGACCGGTGAATAGGGAGTTGCGTGCAAAGGTGAAAAGGCAGAGGAATTTTGAGTGCAGTACAGGTGTGCAACTGTAGTTGTCACCAAGCATATGCCTTGTCTGCTGGTTTAAACGTTCAAAGCTTCTAATCACAAAAGCCTCTTCTGTTTTGTTGGAATCTGGTAACAGTGAGAGTTGCCTCTTCAGCGTGTGAAGTGGCTTTGTTAGGTTCTTTGGGACCATTTTCTTAAAGATGTCTATATCTATCTATAGCAAGGGAATTTTAAAGCTCTGATGAAGTTTTTTTTTTTTGGGATTAGCTAGTTCTTCGCTATAAAAGTCTAATCATGCCTCGATAAAAAGAGTCAATTAAGGAAGATACAACTGAATCTTGAATGGGGTCCATATGGTTTTACAAGAGATCGTGTGTAAGGAGATTTGCTTAGAGATTGGAGAAAACAAAGGAGAGGACCACAAGAGAGGAAAGCTAAAACATGTGATGTAAGTGAAACTGCTCCTATATCAAACCCATTTGTTATTTGTCATTATGTCTCAGAAAGCTGAAGCTGATCCTCAAGCCACTCCCTCACAAGGGGTTTTGCTTCTTCACACGCAACCTCTACACAAAAATATCAAACACCATCTTTTTCACGTATGTTTTGATTATATATATATTTTTTTATTAGCTAAGAGATTCCGTATCTCACGGATGATAAATGTTGTGGACTGGGGATCAAACCATTCAATTTAGCTCTCTTTGTTATTGGTTGGTATGTGTGGCTTGACCTGGTCTACCTCCCATAGCAGATTTAACTTCAGAGTTTTGTATCCGACTGGTGATCAAAATAGACACGGGGGAGTCTTAGTTAAGTAATTAATGGGTTTAGGTTTGTGTTGGCATCAAGAAATGAATATGGGAATGAGTCACAATCTCAAGTTTTTGCTTAGAGTCTAGGCAAAACATGTCTTTGGGGACTGACGTCACCCTCTTCTTTAAGTGCTTTGTAAGAGGGCTTATGGGAACAGGCAAGGGCCAGTGAAGAGAGATTCTGGCTCTTTAAACACAAATTAATCGAAATTGATGAATAAATTATGAATAGATTCTCTTACAATTGGGTTTATTTGAGTTTGCTTACCCAAGTAGCTAGGCTCAATCTTGTTTTATGTAGTTTAATTATGGTGTGGTGGTTGGAAGAGCAAAAAGAAAAGATAAAAGGATTGGATTTCAAGAGAGATTTAAATAGTTTTTTTTTTTTAATGAATGATGATGTACTTTCCCCACCTTTGCAGCGTTTCTTGTAAAAGTGTTCTTAATACTAAATTATGAACTTACTTATGCCTTGTCTTTTCTTGTTTTGGTTCTAAATTTTGGTTGGCTAATTACTCTTACAGGAAGTGGTAAGATCAGGTTTGGGTCAATATTTTCCATTTTTGAAATTATGCTTTACGTTTGTGTATGCATATTTAGCATTTGAGTATGTGTGGCACTAGCGTTCACTTTTACAATTGACATGCATGCAATAATATTGATAATATATAGGAGTTGCTATTATTACTGACAGTTGTTACTGTTTATGCTTTGCTGATCCGAAAATTCTAGACGATTCCCCATAGTTTCTCTAGTTCTAGTTAATACTAGTTTCTTGATAGTACTTGTATTGTAACGGGTCTACAAAAGTAAATCATCTCACCTAAGATTCGAACTCGTGCTGGTAGCATCATAACTCTCATAAGAGCAATCCTGTAATTAGTTGATAGCCAGTCGCACTTAGGTTATAATACGATTCAAGTTAATGGACTCATATATAATATATATTTTCTTTCTCTTACAACTACACTAACTAAAGATGTTTTCCTTTTTAGTCTAAACATATTTAAGACAAGGGTTAAGTAAATCTAAGGTGAATGTGGTTGGTGGAAGTGACACATAATCAAAAAGCGTGTGGGTAATGGATGATTTGTGAAAGTGTGTGGGTCTCCCACGTCTTCCAAGTCGCAGCCCACTTGGAATTTTATACAAATTTTGAATCTCACGAAAACACACAACACAAGTCAGCATTATACGACCCTTTCCACCTTCTTTGTTTTTCTCCTCTTTTCTTTGATAATTTTTTTCCCCATGATGTGTATATATCTGTAGTCTCTGTAGATGTTTTATTTTGAATAGTATAACTAAAAAAAGGCTAATTTTAAGAACGAAATCGTGTTTCAAACGGAGAAACTTGTGTTTCGAAAAATCAAATAAATAATTAAATATATATATATACTTTATATATGCAGAATATATATACATACACATGTCACAACCACGCTCGTCATTGTGACTGCGAACTAGGGGAAAGCAGAGACGAAAGTCAAATCTCATTATCGGTCTATACTATCGTATTATTGTATATCACTCTTTAAGTACCACTTATCTCATATATAAGCAAATTAAGTTCTCACCATCTAAAGTGTCAAATCATCAACTATTTTCATAAAAAATAATTGTATATAATCAAACAATGATATCTAAGTTGAATAACCACAAAACCTAATTTATTAAGTATTTATTTAATTAAATGAAATGTTTGTATATGTTTGGAAATAAGACCAGCACCTTAACAAAAAGATGTTACTGTTGATTGATAATATCTTATGCCATACATGATTATGCTCTTGTTAGGGTTGATAGAGTTTTAGACTATAGTTCCAAATGTTTAGTAATACACAAATTTAAGGGAGCTATATAAATAAATATATATATATATATATATATATATATATATATATTTATGTATATAACCAGAGTCAAAGAGTAACTTGTGGGGAAAACAGAACAAAACATTTGAACAAATCCACTATCCACTAATATGATATAATGGACTAATAGCAATAATGCCGTACCAAGAATCCAAATGGATATTTTTCTCTCTTTGGGTCTTGAAAATTATTCTTTATATTTCCTTGTGGTATACGGAACATGAAAACAATCCTTAAAAATATATATAAAAAAAAAGATGCTAAATAAAGTTGTTATTTATTTTCACTCAATCGATAATCACCAAGTTGATTGGGATTGCTTCCAAGTACAAGAAATCGCAAACTATATGCCCCTACGACCACTAAATATATCGAATATGTATGTATGAACTATGAACTAGAAAGAAAGCTAATATATACTATATATTATGTAGTATATTTATTGAGGTAATTAAGTCTTTTAATTTACACTTCAGCTAACCACTTAGTTATTCAATACACCTCAAAATGCCTACACCGACTCTCTCTCTATTTATTTTTTATATAAAATAAAATCTCAATATAGAAAATAATAGTAGAGGCTAGGTTAGGTTTATAATTTATGTGTCAAGTTATAACATAGGTATTGTTTTGTGGAAAAATGCCGATTAGGTTAGGATTTCGAAGGCATAGATATGTAGATGATAGATATCACGAGTTAATTAATAATATTACTTTAACGAAGTTGTCTTAATTAAATGCTTAATTTTTTCTTGGGTAGGTTTAGTGTCTCACTAGGTCGAACAATCATCAGACCGTTACCTAACTTTTCAATTCAGTTGCGTAAGGCATAGTAATTAGATGGAGACAACAGTAACAGATGCTCTCATGTTAAAAATAGAATTCAGTAAACTATAGTCACAAAGAATGTTTTTCATTTTTTTCAATTGGAGTAGGTTTGAAGATTGGAATGGAATCTTGAGATAGAGAGATAGATTTGATCCTCTTTGCGAATATATTATCCTTGTGGTATTTGGTTCTTATTTGTGATTCTTTGAAGCTCTATATGCTTGTTTCTTCTTTTTGCTTAAATTTATATCTTTCCATCTACTTTAAAAAAAAATTTGAATCGATTCTTGCATAACTATTCTTTGTAGTCCTTACATGTTTAGAATCCTATGACGACAGAGATTTTTTTCTTTTCCATTTGTTAAGAAATATTTATTCAAAAATTATCCAATGTGCGAGTTTATTTGTTCACTAATGAAATGAAATTATCAAGAAATGTTCTTAGAGCAAATTAAACTATTAAAAGGTTTTTTTTTTTGGAAAAAGATTTTTACACCAAGCAAACATATTTTACAAGGATTTTACTAGTATTACAATCTATAAGTAGGGAATATAATTGATTCGTCAACAAGGAGATACTAAAAATACAGGACATGTAGGTGGGATATTAACTATTTTCGATTGAAGTTTTATTTGTCAACACTATTTTCGGTTGTTTAATTTTCCTCAAATATCACTTCTCCACTATTTGTTAAAACATAAAAGATTAAATCCATATATTATTATTGGACAAATACATCATTTAGAGAAAGAGACGTGATGCTGCTCAGTGCTCACCATTCGATCTCTTAGTCTCTCTGCCCATTGTAAAGTGCTTCAAAATCCTTCTTAATTACATCATTTAATCTCAAAATACTTTCACTCATTTTAATTAGGCTTCATATATGTACATGGCATTTTTAAAAATATAAACCCCAAAGGAAAGATAAAAAAAGTGACTTAAGGTTTAGGGAAGATTAAAGGATCATAACTTTGGCATTTATGAGTGGGGGACCTTATATGAAATCAGATCACATCATTGTAAACCATGAACAGTTTTTTTTTTTCTTTTGATAAGATTTTATGTTTGAAATATGTAAATTTATATAATTGTGTTGTTTCCACCGAATAATTATGACCTTTTTTGACATTAAAAGAGAGAACCAATCATCACACTCTTATTACGTTTTCTGCACTTTTGACAAAAAAAAGCTCTCTCTTTGACAGCCTCTCCGTGCCATTATATAACCCTTTTTTTAAGTTGTAATCCTCCATGCATATTTTGTAATCATATACACTCAATTACTTCATAAATACATCTAAACTAAGTAAAGAAGTACTAAGTATTTTTTTTTCACAGTCACGTGCAAAGAGAAAATAATTAGTTCCTCGTTAATAATAATAATAATAATAATACATGCCTTTTCTTATCAATAATAACCAGATTATTATAATTTTCTCTAGTTTGAACTTTGAATACTCCCCTTTGATAATTCCGGCATGGGATTGTCATCTGTCATGTCATGGAGAAAAACCCAAACGAACGTGTAAAACTAAGCTACTGCTTCCACATATCTTTATTTTTCTATAAAATAAATTCCAAATAAAATATATAATTTTTTCCGTTTGTGGTAGCATCTCCAAATAAAGTGTATACTCTAAATTTGTACAATGACTTATTTATTGCAATAAGTGGACCGTTGGGAGAAGAACTGAAATATTTTGCTTAGAGAATAAAAAGTTAAACACACAATTTTCTTGAAAAGGGTGGTAGATTAACTCAGATGAAACTGCAACTAGTTCCCCGAAACCATATTAAAAATACGAAACGAGAAAAAGAAGACAAAGATTCGTTTTCAAGTAAAAACATTTGGGAATTGAATAATAAAAGGGAAGGGAAAGAAGAAGGGTCGTCGTATTAATATGGTATAACTTATTAAAGGGATAGTCAACATTAAAATTAAATTAAAGATGTCTTCTGAAACTATTGCAACTACTGGTCTCTTCATCGGAAGAAGAGAAGATCTCCGTCGTGACTCCACTTGAAGCATGGTCGGAACAAGGAGAGCTAGGCATAAGGTTCAAATCTGTTGTTCTCTCTTTTCTCATGAAGTCGAAGAAGATTGGTTTCGTTTTATCATCTTCGTTTGTTTGGTCTGTTGTTGTAATAATATCAATTTGGTCATTCGAGTTGTTATTAATATATCTAAGGTTCCGGCTATCTCCGTCGTCGTCGTCGTTCTTGTTTCCAGCTCTTTTTTTCAAGAAGATACGGCAGAGTACCCAGTTCTGCGTCGGACCCATAGAACTCTACAAGAATTTAGAAGAATCTGAAAAGTTAGTGGATTGGAGATTAAACCGGAACATAAACCGGGAAATGAAAGGATACGTACCGGGGGAGAAGAAGAGAGACGGTACTCGTGCATGATCCAATCGGTTCTGGAGCCATGAGGTGGTTTGCCTTTGTAAAAAACAAGAGTTTTCTTCAAACCAACGATTTGGTTTCCTCTAGAGGTCACAACACGTTTATCAATACCGGTAGCTTTCCAATAACCAGAACCGGTAGCTCGGTTGGACCGGTTCCCATTTGGGTACTTGGCTTCCCTAGTGCTAAAGAAGTATTTCTCCTTGTCCAAATTACCTGTGATCGTTTTATTATTAATACTCTCGAAAGTGATCAAGAAGTAAGTAAGTAAAGGCAAGAAGAAGAAGAAAAAGAAAGAGAGAGCTAACCAGGTAAATCCCAAGGATCAGCTCTGCAAACATCGAACTCAGGGATGATAGAAGCTGGCAAAGGAGAAGAACAAACTTTCCTCTTAAGGTACTGAACAACAAGTTCTTCATCAGTAGGATGGAATCTGAATCCAGGTGGCAATCTCAGAACACCATTCTTAACCAGTTTAACATTGTCCATGGTTCCAAACAAAGGGAAGGAGAGAGAGAGAGACAGAACAGAGAACAAAGAATAAAGAATGAAGAAGAAAGAGAGTGCTGCAGTGCGGGTGGTGTAGGAAGAGGGAAACAAGGAAGGTGTGGTTTTTATAAGGTTGAAGACGATACGAACAACTCCTTTTCTTTATTATTTATTTATTATTTTGTTTTTGTTTTGGCGTAAACCATACTCAATCTCCTTCCTCTCTCTCTCTCTCTCTCCTTTTTTACGCCATTTTCATATATCTATCTTCTTCTTCTTTCTTTTTTTCCTTTCTACTTTTTTAATATTTATTCATTATTACTAATTTTTTTTTTATATATATATGATGTCTCTCAATTATTATTATTAGTCGGTATCTACCTCCTCTTCTTTTGTTCTTTTCCGATATGTAAAGTGTAAACCCTTCAATCATTTTTTTGATTTTTTAATTTACTATAAATAATTGTATATACAAATGAAAATGAAAAGGACTACTTTAAAAAAAAAATTAACTCTGTTTTCTTTAATTCGTTTAAAGAAATTATAGCTTAATCACACACTCAAACAAAATAACGTGGAGGCTTATTTATATATATATATATATATATTTCATTTTCACTATAAAAACATTCATTAGCGAACCTAAGTAGTCGTCCATTCTCCAATTTGCTTTCAATCATTATTATTATTTAGTTTAGCAATTAAAAGGGCATTATCGTCATTTACAGTAAGTGGGAGCCGGAGATGCTTGTAAGTCAGTGAAAAGTATGGTCCGTTAAAAGGACGATCGCGGCTAAAGCGGTGATGCTGAAGTCAGCTTACGTCATGCTGACAGCCGGAGCTCGCCCTCTGCTTTTGCCATTTACATATATACCCTTTTTGAGATTCCAAATATTGAAGGAACTTCACAAATATTTTGGATTTTTTTTCTTTTTGTTTTCCTTTGATATGTTTTTATTTATGTTAGTAATTTGTGAAAATGTGAGAGAAAGAAGAAGAATATGGGAATTCGTCTGGGGCTTATTGGGAGGGATAGGGGGACAAAAGAATTGTAACCACGTTAATGTTTTAACATGGCTTCTCCAACCACGATAATGTTTGTTCAACACGTTACATGCAACTCCAATATTATATATAAATATATGTATGTATATTCAAGAAAAGATAAATTCTATGTATATGTGTAGATTCTGATGCAATTCGAAAAATGCAAACGGAAAAATGAAGAAGAAGTCTACGTAGTCGAATAAGCCTAGAGAACACCACCGACGCTTGAAACAAAAAAATTAGGTCCATGATGTCAATGGTTCATGAAAACGGGGTAGCGAGTGACTTCAGCTGAGGTAGGATTGGTGTTCCCCGAAAGCTCGCAACATTTTCACTATTTGAGACTATATTGTTTCGACGATATTATCTTTCGGCATCATACGCTAATTTCCATTTTCTAATTTTTGTTAAGAAATAATCTGTCTCACCAATTTACAAATTCTACACTTTTTGATGGAACCGCTTATTAAGTATGATCAGCAACAATACATGATATATTTCATATTGATATGAAGAATGGTTGTGTTTAGGACATGAAAATGTAAATGGGCGTGTATGTTCGTGTGTTGTGTACATCATACATGCGTATGCGCAGTTACTAATTCATGTGAAACTGGCCAATAGGCAACGCAATATATCATATTCATATATTTGCTCCATTATCCCTCTAAGTGCATTCCCCCTCGTGTTGTGGGGATTCGAATTTGTGGGTTTAGTGTTCTTCACTAGGTAACGCAACTATATTTCATATTTCTTTTTCGTTATATATTTATATTTGTTTTTTTTTTGTAGGAATAATAATTATTTATATGAAAAGGTTAGCAAATGATTATGAATCACTTAGTTATGTTATTCCATTTTATGGAGTGGGTGCGCTTATTTTTAATAGTCTTATATATATAAATTACACGTATATGGTACACACACACACATTTTATAGACTTAAAGCGGTTTTACATAATTGAATACTATTAGAGCATATGCCCCTTTGGCTAAGGAATAGATTTATCAATCTTATTATAATTAATATTGACAACTCAAGCCACCACCAAAAGAAGAAATTATGGAACTCTTAAGAGTATTTGATAACCATATGAAACATCCCAAGCAAGTCAATGATTTCTTTACATGTGAAATTAAAGAACAAATTATATCTATGATCTATATATATGTATATAAATTCAAGCACCAACAACTTGATAATTAAATATGTATGGACCATATACACGGACCAGTGAGACAACAATACCCAAAGATATATATGTACATAGTATAAGAGATAGAAATCAAGAACCGGCAACCAAAATAGCTTATATAATTGCAGTTCAATAATCAAAACTAATTCATGTAAATATAGATAAAATATATATAATTTAAACAAAATCGATGTCAAGGGGTCCGTGAAGATGACAGTGTGCTGTAAGTTCATCCAATCCCGTTGTCAACCTTCCTGTTTGTATAGATCACATGAAATTTTTCTTTATTGCTTAATTAAAAAAGAAGAAACAAAAATGATCGATTTCGTCCAAATATATGTTATCTTTAAAAAAAACAAAGGCGTGACGTTATTGTCGGTATAATAATATTCACTAGCTATATGTATATCGATCCACTACAAGTTACCTCTCAATTGAGACCAAAGGATTGTTTATCAAAACATATAGAGCACCATTTAAATAGTATATCATCATGGCCTGGGGGGTTATTAAGGATATCTTCATGGCTGTTATATACTTTACTTAAAAAAAAAAAGATAACTTCCACTCTTTTAGTTTTACTTGAGTACTATTACATTTATAGTCTTGTACGTACGTACTAACCCGTCCTTTTCGACGATCCAATATGATATGAGATTCCGAGAATAATATAATCGTTTTTACCTCTATATATATATTGTATGTTGTTGTTCTTACTTCATTTTGAGACATACGTATATTAGGTTTTGAACAGATATCGCAAATGAAGTGAAACGTCAATCTTAGGATAGACAACCAGTTCACCATGTAATAAATTTGATTTTACGTAAAAACGAGGTTCCTATCGATTTTTTTCTATTTGTTTATTTTACATTACTACATACTATAGTTGTATGAATTTCGAACTCTTAGTTTATTTACTTTAGTTTTAAGAGCTGATATTTATTTTTCATTAATGTAAATAAAAGAGAGAGGGAGAGGGAGAGAGAGAGAGGATGATCATGAAGGGAATAAAGAGAGGGAAAGGTCCTACGAGCTTCCAAAAACGACAGCCTCACACGTCGGATTTAAAGTTATCGGAGAGACACACACACACACAAAATGAGCAATGCAACCAAACCATCTCTCTACGATCTCTCACTCTCTACCGATTTCCCAAATCTTCTTTGTCTCAAATTTTCTAATCACATTCAATGAATGGTCCCTTTCAAAAATGACAATATTACCCTCTCATCTTTTCAACGACCTATTTTATTGGCAAAATCATCTAAAAATCTATTCGAATGATTGATTTTAAAATACATTTTAATAATCTTATATAATCTTACACAAAGAACAAAGAAGTCTATAGTGATTGAGTCTCAGAGACTCAACCTGATTATCTTATCTCTAAAACCAGTTCAGTTTTCTCCAATATATGGTTCATGATCGGTAACATCGAAGGGATCAGTTGCATGCAGTAATATGTGCTGAAAATGAAGATGAAAGAAGTTCAAATAGTAGTTTATGGCTTGTTCCACATTATTACCTTTATTTTGTTTTTTACACTAAGAAAAAAATGAAATTTAGAGAAAAAAAATAGGTAAGATATTCCCACAAGCAAAAAGGAAAAACAGGCACACGCACCCCATTTGCGACTTGGTCATCTATATATGTTCTAAATTGAGAAATATCAAAATAAGGGTTTCGTAAGTTATATTGCGGCTCCGATTTTTTTTTTTGTTCTTAGCGTATAATAGTTTTAGGCATTACCGTATAGTAGTAGTGGTAAATGTGTAATATAAGAAATGCGTGTGAGAGCGTCAACGGAGTTTGCGTGGGGATTTTGGAGAGAAAGTGAGAAACGTCAAAGGATGCAACTATAACTGTACATGTTTTTTGAATCCAACAAATATGCTTAAATATATAGTTTGATTAAATTTGAGGTTTCATGGTTTCGTTCTTACCACAATTTTCCAATATCTGAGACCGGGTTCGATGGTTTTTTCTTTCATACGTTTAATGTTAAATCTGACTTTTTTATTTTATTTGGGAAATCCAAAAATTAAGGTTTACAATTTGGTAGATCTATTTAACGATTATTTTATATTATCATTGTATATAGTTTTTGATGTGCGACAAATATATAAGTTTTGATATGGAATTTATTAATAAATAATAGCAAAATATTACATCATATCATATTTGATGTTTTTTATTAGAGAATGATATCACAATTTTGTACTATAGTTTAAATTTGAGTTATGCATCTAAGGAGATGGATTATATGTAGAAAAAATTATGATACTTTGCATAAAAATCACTTAATCTGATCAGTGAACGTGTAAACAACAAATTATTGCTAGTTATATCAATCGATGCTGAGATTGCATTGTAGTGAAACTTAATGCTATCCACGATAGAAAATAGGTAGCAGCTATTTATGTTGGACATTTGGAAAGAACTGTAGAGAAAACCACAAATCAAACAAACGTAAGACATGTTTTATAAAGAGTTATGATATATTAATCTCAAAGGTACAATTGATGTGGTATTAACAAAATTAGAGACTTATAACACAAGCAAGCTCACAAACGCACATATATATTACGAGAATTGAATTGTTCCATATGACTATATGAGTCTACGATATGCGTATATGATATAAAAACTTGTGGTGTTTAATCGAGCTACTAGACCCTCAAGAGTTATAAACAATAAACAATACTAATACGTACGTCTTAGTAGATGAAATTTTAATATTATCACATAAACAAGTATTACTTTTCAAAGGCACGATGATGATCGTATACATTTAATTGCCGGCCCAGTTTGGAAGGTTTCCTACTTTGTTCAGAAACCCAACTAAAATAATAATATGTGAAATGATTTCTCAACCTTGCATAAAAATCACGTACAAGCAATCATATGCCATTTATGACCAATCCAATATAACGTCTATTTATGTGTTCAAACGGTAACCACGTGAAATTGTTTGAAGAGAAAAATTAGGAGAAATTATAATAATATACATAAGATAATACTGGTCATACGACTTCTATATAGTTAAGTAATAGCCATTTGATTATACATACATAGTAAGTATTTTTTTTTATCTTTTAAAAAAAGTTGATAATGGAATTTTCTTTTTTAATATTCCTCAGCATCTTGTTTTCTCTCTTTCGAACTCTTATGTTTTGTAATATTGTCGTATGTGTCACCATCTAACCTTAAATTCGTGTAACACATACATATCATTCGAAGGAAAAAATCATCATGAAAAATGTTGAAATTATATTTTGTTGCTCATCGGATTAAAGCATTTATGTTTCTAGAATCGAAATAAATAAAATAGATTTTTCTGTCGACAAACGAAATAAAAATAATGAAAAATTCAAAGTCATCACTCATAATCGAAATCTAAGTTGACTACAAATTAATTTTTCTTATATTTTAATGTATTAAGGAGGTGCTATATAGCTTTTGCTTTTATTCTATCTAAAATGATATCAGTTTCTTCATTTTGAAGCTACACTTTGTCAACCTCAAAGTTGCATACCTCCTTTGATAAAGAAACTTTTATTTTAAAATCCTTGATTTTTTTATACGTGTATTTATAGGTTGTCAAATGCTTTTCTAGCAAGAAAAAAAAAAGAGAGGAAAAAGTCTTTAAAGTGCTTTCAAAACTCTCTTTAATTACCATAGATTTTCAATTAATTTTCGAAATAAAATTAATGTAAGCATAGAGTATAGTATAATGTCAGAACGTGTGATTGTCATATCCAAAGTTTGTATTCACAAAAATGCCTTATTGTTTAGGACAAAACACTACTGTTTTCGCAATCTTTTTATAAGAGACGTGGGTAAGAAATTAAAAAAAAAAAAAAAAGCGAATTACTTTTGTACATATATAATCATTTGTTTCGGCTTTACGAAACCTAAGAATATACACACAGCAAGTTACTGCAGCTGCTTATGTCATATATATGTGAGCTATGGAAGTTGAATTAAACCAACCAAAAAAAGGAAGACGAATCCTTTTAGGTGAAGAAACCTGAAGAATGAAGTTTGGTCTCTTTTTTATGCTTTAATTTGATTTGCTTTTTTCGTATATTTTTGTTGGGTGTGGACTTAAAGAAACATTGTATGGCTTTTTATGGCATGTGACTGAACCAAAAAAAAAAAAAAACTTATAAAAAGATGTTTTTATTCCTATTCTCTCACGTGTGACGCTACCAATTCGTGTGCCAACTTTCTCTTCTTTCTTTTCTTTTTTCTTTTTTGGGGAAAAGGAAAAATAGTTTGTGCTTTTGAGAAGAAAAAAAAAAGTTGTTTTCTTTTTGATGCTTATTCCAAACTTGAAACACACAAATTCCAGCCAATTAAAGGTTAGACTTTCACCTTCATCTCTCTCTCTTTTCACTTTCTTTTATTTTCTCTCAAATCTCAAAAAAAAAAAAGACAAATTAACATTTCCGTTTAGAATCAAACTTCCTTTTCGGTTTGGTCTATCTTGGTTTGGATTTTAGAATTGTTATGTTTTTGAGGACGTAGGCCGTGTGGTTTTTAGTTGGGCCTGTTTGAGAAATACGGTTGGGTTGAATCTTTTTTCTCGGCTGGGCCTGGATTAATATGATTACAAGAATTGAGAATACTTAAGGTCAAGTGATGCAGGCCCATTATGACTTATTGTGGGCTTTTCAGCTCTTCCCTGCACTAATTCATTTTTTTTGTTTGTGCGCCGTCATTAACTACTTTTAATAACGATGCCGTGTCCCTAATCCATTTTATAGGGTGGTCCAAGTTAACTAACAACATAAGTTTCTTATTTAAGATGTTTGGATGATTTTTTTTTTTTTATTTTATTATTATTTTTTTTTCTATAAGCTAATTTTGTCTATACACATTTTGTATATATTGGACGACACTAATTATAACTTGGGGGAAAAATGCAGCCAGCTCATCATTTCAAAACAATTTGAATTTGATAAACATAAAAGTTAATTTATGTGGTCCATATGTCTTATGTTTTATGGGTTAACATGTCGTCCCAAAATCCTTGCCTTATCGCCACGCCAATCATTCATTTTAGATGAATATCGGAAATTTGTGATTGATCAAGCTGCGATGATTATCTTTACTTTTTTTTTTTCTTTTTTTGAAGAAGAAGATAATTACATATACATTGGGGCTGTTCGTTTCACCGCCGCAGGTAGTTGCGGCTGCGGCGGACGCAGGTGATGATGTTCGTTTCGTCACCGCATGAAGCTGCGTCATAACGCAGCGGCAAACGCAGCGTCCTGCGACGAGAATTTTGAAACGCCAATTTTAATCAGCGGTCGTAATTAGAAAGTTGCGTTCAATCTGGGAATTGACCAAAATACCCTTGTTCAATGTTTTACATTTTCTAAACCTAAGAGAAGAACGGCGAAGAAGAGAAGATTATTTCCAGATTCGATTTCTCTCCTCCTCTGCTCTCATCTTTGTTTTCTTGGTAAGCTATTCTGGATCTTCTTCTGTAATTTTCTCCATATCTGTTTTAGCATAGATAGAGATTAGTTGATTGTGTTGTTTTGATGGATTTTGCTATAATGGATTGAGATTATTTGATTGTGTTGGTTGTGTGGCTAAAGATCTCGGATTTTATATCTGAAATATGTTCTGGAAACTAGACAGCAAGATCTTTCCATTGATATAAAGATAGTTTTCTGGTTCCATTTGGTTTGATAGAAAATTGCTTTCAAAGTTGACTGTTCGTGGTGTTGTGTCAATCCAGTTAATGTGTTGGAAATTTGTTCATAACTTTTAATCCGGAAATCCAAATGAAGATCTGTTTTTTCCTGTGGCTTTGTGTGTGTGTTGTGAATATTTTTAAATTACATTTCGATATTGAATTAAATTTAAACCATTACTAGGTGAATATTTTTTTTATGGATGTAAATATATTTAAGTTACATTATGTTGATCAAAATATATTTTAATTATTACCAGCTAAATAAATGCTTTTATGAATGTAAATATATTTAAGTCACATTTTTTTTATTCAAAATACATTTAAGTTATATTTTACAAAAATTGAATTGTCGCAGCGTTTGTAAAACGAACGTAATATCAGCGGTAGCGGCAGCGGCAGCGGTGGCGGCAGCGGTTACGTCAACAAAACGAACATAAATATTGATGCAGCGGTAGCGGCGGCGGTAACGGCGGCGGCGACAAAACGAACAACAACCTGCGGCAACGTTTGCCGCTACCGCTGCCGCTACCGCCGGTGGTGATGAAACGAACATGGCCATTATCATTCATGCATGGCTACTTGCAATTGCATTTTGATTGATAATAATAATAATACAGTAAAAGTAAAATGATGAGAGTATGGGACTATGGGATAAAATTAAACAAAGTTATGTGTGTTTACAATTTTTTGTTTTTTTAATGTGCAACGAAGTTGACGTAAAACATCTTACATTAGTTAAGAATTAAGATTCGTTTTCTCAGTAGTTGAAAAGGACAAGCGAAGATTGATTCTCACTAGGTTTGAAACGTATATTCAATGACAATTGTGTTTAAATACAAATAATCACAAAACTACATATGATTAGTATATAAGCAGTCAAATAGAATCTAATCGGGAACATATAATTGAAGAAAGCATCAAGTAAGATCAAACTAATACTCTGTAGATATCTAGCTATGTAAATTAATAATAATATTACTATATTTTTGTAGAAAACATTCATACCCCCTTTAATTTGATTTTATATGATTAGTACGTGACAGATGTCTCCTCTTTCCGAATAAAATGCAACAGAGACAATTTATATGCTCATTTAATATTATCTAATAGGTATGTCATGTAACTTTGATTTCTTACGCTAAATCATTGAGTAATTATTTTATCTGAGCTATAGCCGTACAAGTCCAAGAGCCACATTTTGCTTGCTTACAGTGTTTGTGCATTTCTTTAGCTGTACATTTTATCCTATTTTTCTAATTTTATTGGTATCGGTAAACATGCTAAAAACTCTTGATTGCTTTAGTAATAAGAGTAAATCTCCTTATTTTTGCATATATAGTTTCTTAACCTGTACATTTTTTCTTTTTCCAATGTACGTACCTAAATAGATACTTTTAGGTTTCATGAGTGTGCGTGTATCACTATGTCTAGGCATCCTAAGATTATACTTTGTATTGTATTCTAATATTTTATGTACGAGTAGTCTACTAATTACGTCTTTGATATCGTATTGTGAATAACAATTTATAACTAGACGTGTGTTTGAGTTGAAGCATTTCAAGTTATTAATGACATAAATGAAAAAAGTAATAGTATTCGGTACCCATACGGCCATACCGTTGAGAACAAAACACGGTAAAACTCGAAGAGTGATATCTAATTGTGGACAACGAAGAAGGGCAGTACCGAAACAGTCAGAACGGTTCGGTTACATACGTATTGAAAGTTCAAAAACACATATGATTGCTATCAGCAAAGTAGAAGAAAGCGTTTTTTCCTTTCGCTGCATGCATTTTTTGGGTTAGATGTGAATAGTGTATTTGTTTTGGTTTGAAAAGTCTTTATGAGATTGTAGTTGTAAAGATAGAATAAACTTATCAATGCGCATTAATAACCGATGATTTAAAAAATATCTAGTGATACAATTAATCATACAAAATTTGCATGCATGCTCATTGAATTGAACACAACAATTATTATTATTATTGTTTTTTTTTTTGTCAACAACAACACTACAATTACAATTAGTTTAATTTTTAAGGTAGAATTAAAAGTAAAGGAAAACAAATACGTCCACGAAAGGAGAAAAAGAGGGGCAAGGTGTTGCCACGTCACAGAAAAGTCTAAAAAAGCAAAAGCCTTTACCTGAAAAGGAAAGAAACTGTATGAGATGTGTAAACGTACGTTCAATGCATCAAAATCTTCAAATTGTATTTTGGGTACATCCTTCCACTATTTCTCCACCATATAAAATACGTATTCCGTAAGTCTTATATAAACCTTTCACAACTACAAATACCAATCGTGTCAACTAGCTAGCAACCTAATCAATTTGTCAACAATCCATTGTATTGTACGTACTATATACATACATAGCTCATTTTCCATTGCTAACTTTTTTTTTGACCGATAGTAAAAGAACTCCATATACACTTGCAAGTTGCAACACACAGACGAAAAAAAAAAACTAATCCAATGTAACAACAAAGCAAATAATGGGGTTATTGGAATTAGATGTTTGTACGTCTAGGTGTATCCAGAAGACAATAATTATATATGGCTACGTGTGGAATCTTCTGGCTACTTCTCTTTGCGTCTCTCCGAAACATATGAAATATGAATCAATGAGTTCTATTCAAATTCTGTAGAAGAACCCCACGTTTATTTTGGGCCCTTCAAAACTTTGAGTCATTAATTCTGTTTCTGTATAGTCATTTCCATATTTTGACATGAGCGTGACTCTGCACCTTGATCTTTCATTTTTATCAATAGTGTGTAGTACTGTGCATACATATATGACTTGAGAATATACATATTTGTTGTGTTTGATAATGAATATAATTAATTATTTTCCTGGCCAAGATTATTTCATGGAAATAAAATCCACATGAAAGGAAAAATAATCTAGAAGCTCCAAGAAAATACTTGGTGCATAAAAAATATTCATAAAAGTTTCCTGATCTGTATCCAATGAGAAATGGGAAACAAAAGCATTGGGAAAGATTCGATCATCGTACGTACATGAGAAAACAATATATATTGCCGTAACTTATCATATGAAAAGAAAAGAGACGTGCCAAAGACTTTAATGAATAACAACATATCAAAAGTACATTCCATACGATTGAGACTATATGAATTACTATTCTCAGAAAGAAAAAAGTGTATTATTCTACATAAACCTCTAAAAGAGAAGCCTGCTAAATGTCGTGGTTACTACTGGTAAAAAGAACATTTCTAGTCGTCTATCTCAGATAAAAAAAATAAAAAATATTATTAGTATATATTAATATATATGACATTAGGTTTTCCACAAAACAAAATCGAGAACATTTTATTAAGTTTAAGAAGGTTATAACTGATTTGTTTCTTAAATTCAATCCCGTTACTACGTTAGACCTATCACATATTGTTTTTTTTTTTTTTTACATCTCACGTATTGGTTTAGTTTACTTATTTCCTACAGTGGAAATTTGCCATCCCAAACATACAGTTTTAATCCACCTACGGTAATTGCAATTATAATTATAGTTAATTAGGGCTATTTTGTATAACGACCTCTTATTTATATTTTGGAGACCATCTTTTTTATATGGACATATTTTGTTTTTTGTTTTGTTTTTTGGGGTCAAATAAAGAAAGAGGTCGTTATCAAACGTAGGAACCTGAGAATGGGTGTGCTTGATTGATGATGATTCTCTTAAGAAGGGATTGATCTTAGTTGATGAAAACATTGAAAAGGACAAGAACGAGTTTTAGAAGATAGAATGTATATTCATTCAATCATTACCAACTTACGTAAGCTTTCTTACCCACTTTACCATTTGCTTTCCTATATACTTTCATTCCCCTCTCATTTAATTAACTGGACCGTGTAGTTTATTAATTTGAAAAATCCAATTTCAAAATATCTTGAGTTTTTTGTTTTTTTTTTAATCTATCCTCGAGGCAGAGAAGACCGATTTTTTCAAGGTATTTAATTATGTTTCATCCATTAATCATTTAATTTTTAATCAAAATAAATATGTTGTTTGGGTTACTGAGAAACTAGCAACGTAATTAAGTAGACGGCATATATAGGGCGTACTTTGTAATTTTATAACCTCAGATTTGAGCCGTTTGACATGTTTTCTAAACAATTTAGAATTCTCCTTCTCTGATAATATATTTATATGTACGATTGAAATCTCTATAAAAGTGATACACAGTAATTAATAGGTGGATTCGTATATTTCTGTCATAAATAGCACTTTGTCCATATATGTATTATATAGTAAGAGTAATTTTTTCAAGCGTCTGTAAAAACATTTTCACTGTTTATTGGTTTGATTAATGTGTAAATTAGAGTACTCCACGTATGCTGCACGTATGTAACTAAATGGTGTAACAGCTGACTGTCCAAAACAAATTAACTCACCCAACTACAAATTTTGTAATTAGCATTTAGCAAGCCATTGGATGACATCTCGTGTAGGTATGTAGCAATTCTCAACGTCTCAGTACATTTATGTTAATTATCATAATGGTGTAATTCTTATCCTTATTTGTATATAACTAAACTACTTTTAATTATTTTGAGCAACTACTTTGAACATGAGTCATTTGCCTTATGTTAATTCATACAAACTTCTGTTATTCGGACTAATTTAGCACAATAGACCGATCATACATGCATGATGTAGTGTTTATTTGGCAAACATTAATTATTTCGCTAACAAATCATAGATAGGTATCTATCATTGAAAGCTATAATTAAGTAGCACATCTAAATGAATGTGTATGTGTGTGTGTAAAGCTAAGATTCGTATGAACCGTTTGAATTCAGAAAACGATAGAATCGGGCCGGGGGGAGGTTTGATTTCACCCACATGATTGTCATTTTTCCTTTATGTGGTAGCAACATACACATTTATATGCATACATCATATATCATTGTGGGTCACCAAGCTGCTTGAATTATTGCGGTTTGATCGATCAGTCGATGTTATTTATATTATTGGTTTACATTTTTGCTTTATATTTTTTCCTACAAAATGCATCCACCAATCTTTATTATTATTTTTTAGTACAAAATACATCCAATAATCATTTCCTATATGGTTACAAATTTTTTCTTTCTTTAGGAGAAACAATTATAGATAAACGAAGTAACATCTTTCTGATACATAGACCTATATGTTAAACTTTAAAGTTCGATAGAACTGATCAAACACAGCTGTACTGTGATAGAGTCATACACACACACAAATCACAATAACATGCATCATTAAGTTTTCTACAAGTAACTAGGACCAATACAATAACGTGCATGCATACATATTAATGATAGTTTATCTTGGTTTGATAAAAAGTATGTTTCCTGCTAGCTGTAATAAACTAATAGTACTAATATACGAACTGAACATATATTCCATTTTATAATTCTGTTGGTCTTTTGAAATATTTTCATTTAAAATTTTCTATATTAAAAAACTTATATACATAAGTTAGCAAGGAATGTAAAATTTAAAAGACCTCTAAAAAAATAAAATATAATCAATATTGAAACTTACCGTGATTTATTAATTAGTGTTTAGGAAATTACAATTTATAAATAAACCCTAATAACTTTATCTATATACCAATAATATATTATACACAGAAACTCGCAATTAAAATGGAAAACAATCATAAGCAGTGTTTTAGGGAGAAACCTAAATAAACATGTCCTTTTAATTAGATTTATTATTCATGCATGTGAAACAAATTAAGTTCAAGACTATAAACTATAATTCTAGTAATTAGTATAGAGAAGTTAAGGGGGAATGCGTGATTACAAATTAATGTTCGAAAACACGCATGGGAACTCGTAAGGTGAACCAAACGGTACAATTATACTATACTATTAATTAGGCACCAATCAGTCAGAAAGTTGTACGATAAACCAGAATAAAAATAATTAGTGATGGCAAAATTAGGGTAAAGGAGAACCACAAAAGTGGCACCTCTCATATGTTTTTAAAATTGTTTTGGACCAAATAAATCTAAAAAAAGAAGAAGAAGAGAGAACGAATAAGAACAAGAAAGGATTTAACAAACCCCATGATCATTTGTTTTTTTATCATTCGCCAACCACGTCACTCCTCATTTGTCCATTTCTTCCTCCCACCTTTATAAATATCTGTTTTAACTCACCCTTGAAAAATGGAGAATTGTTTCGTTTTTTTCTCCCCTTTTTCCCAAAATATTCTGATTCCTATTTCATAATACTCATATATACTGTATTGAAACATATAAAAGTAGAAAAGAAAATGTATTTTTCAACCAATCTCTACATAATGATCAGTGATAGATATTACCTATACTAGACATTTTACCAAAAACTTTATAGGTACATGCATCTTCATTTTTCATGCATAAATTTTTAAAGTTGGATCTCTTTTTTTTTTACATAAATAGATATCAGTAAAATGACTAATTTGTTAACCTCAAAACTAAATACATAGTTGAAATAAAGATAGAGTGTTCAAAATAGAGAAAAAACTAAGAGAAAGAAGAGCATAGAAACACACTAAAGAAAGACACGAAAGGGTTTTGCATAGCTTTCTATCTCTCTCGTGTGTCTCTCTACAAACATAACTCCTAAAAACAAGAAACGGCTATAAGTGCAAGCATTTGGAGAGGTCACGTGATTAGCACAATGTTTTCATTTTCATTTGCCTATTCTCTCTTAATTCATTACTACTATTATTAATTACACAACTCTCTCTATCTCTCTCGTAACGCATCACTACTTTTTTTTTTTTTGGTTTAGTAATTAAGCAATCAGTACCTTAATTATACACTCACGCGCGACGCTCTATTTTTGACGAGTGGAGCTCTATTTCTATCTATGCATGATTTATAACGTTTTCGTTTTGTACAAGGAAATAGAAAACGTGTACTTGTACACAAAAGAAAGAGAGTGAAAAGAAATGAGAAATCTGATCAGGAGATATGAATTGTTTTTTTTTTCTACTTTGGTTAAAATTTTATAGAGAACGGCGTCAATTTTCTGCGAATCAGTATCTTGAAGACTTGAACTAGTTCTACGTCTTCTTTTCTTTTCATAAATGCAGTGGTTTAACCTAGTCATTTACACGTAGATGTCTAGCCTTAATGATTCCCACCTAGACTCTTATTTTTGTTTGTTACAAAAAACAGATTTAAATGAAACCAATTAATCTCACATGCACCAATCTCTTTTACTTTACGCCATATATATATGCATGTATTTATGTAACGAGAATACAAACAAAAGAATTGAATTCATTGTAAGCATATTTGAGAAACAGTAGCCAATGATTAATCCTGTACAATTCCAGTAAAATTATTTGTAAACTAAACAAGGTCTCTATATTTATTGTAATACATTGAATATATATAATATAGATAAGATAGGTGGGATATTTTTGGTTCATCTATCTATTTGTAAACTAAATATATGAAGAAGGTTTCAAAGAAACTATACAGATTGTAATGTAATCCAATGATGATTTCCCCTAGCTATATTGGTTGATGTTGGGTAGACTTTTGGTCACCTTGAGCATTCATTCATGATTCATCGTCTATAATATATAAGTACAAAACTATGGTACGTAAATGTGAGTTTTTTTTTTTGAAACAAGGCGTGAAGGAAATGAAATCGTTAAAAAGGAGAGAGACCTTTGTGATAGACGCGCGTTTGAGATGCGAGTTGAGAAACAAAGAAGTAAGATTGGGTGAATGATAAAATGCAAACGCTACCTACTAATATCTCCACTTGTCATGCAACCAGGCTTAGTTCGTTTCACTTTTCGATTCTTATTTTTAAAATTTATTATTCTACTCAACACGTTACACGCTTCGTAAACCTCATAAAATTAAAATCTCTTTTTTTTTTCTTTTTTTTATACTACAATGGTTAATTTTGGAGCTATATATAAACCCACCTGAGGCTCCTTAGTTTCCTCCATGAAATAAAAAGAAGCATCATATCTTCTAGAGAGAGAGCGAGAGAGCGAGAGAGAGAGCTTTAGGGTTTCAAAATCAAAACACTGAGACCCTTCAGACAATCTCATATCGGGAAAAGCTTCTCAATCTCTATACAAAATGGGAGTTGTCATGAATCACCATTTGCTCACTATCATCTTCGGCATCTTAGGTAATGTTCCCATGCGCAATCCTAGCTAACTAATCGTGTTCATCCTCTAGTCTCTCTTCGTTCTTCTTTATTACCTTTTACCTTCAACTTCGCATCTAAAGCTTCTGATTTTGAAAATGTTATTAGTGTAGGATTTCCATTGTATTACTATAGACATAAACTATAGATAAAAATGACTAAGAAGTGAAATAAAATCATGGACAGTTCATTATGATGACCCACCTAACAAGTTTCAAGTTTTTTCCTCAATAACTAAACTAAGTCATTTTTAATCATTAATGATCTTCTGATGCTTAGGTAAAAGCTCATATTACCCAAATTTTTTTTTTATAACCATCAGTACGTAAGCTATTAAATTAAATTGAAATCGTCACGCATTGTTGTCCATGTTATCATACTCGATACGTGTATTGTGGTTAATGCAATTTAATTACCCTCTGAGAGGTTGGTTAGAGTATTCGTGCTGATTCATGTACTTGTGTCTCCACAAAACTAGAAGCCTCTTAATGATACAAATCGACTCATTTTTTTTTGTTTTTATTTGATGAACATTACAGGAAACGCGGTATCCTTCCTTGTATTAGTTGCTCCACTGTAAGTATAGAGATACAATTTCATATCTAATAATTGTTAATTTGTTAAATATGAGAATGATTCTGATTTGTATAAAATATATATTATCAGGCCAACATTTTATAGAATATACAAGAAAAAATCGACGGAGAGTTTCCAGTCGCTGCCGTACCAAGTGTCGCTGTTTAGCTGCATGCTATGGCTCTACTACGCTTTGATTAAGAAAAACGCTTTTCTCCTCATTACCATTAACTCCTTCGGCTGCGTTGTCCAGACTATTTACATCGCCATGTTTCTTGCTTACGCCACTAGGGACAAAAGGGTAAATCTTAACTCCTCCTTTTTCGTCCTCATCAATGATTAATTACGCTTAATTAAATACGAAAATATCTGATTACTAAGAGATGATCATTATCATGCGTTTTGACAGATCTCGGCTATGAAGCTGTTCATAGCTATCAACGTTGTCTTCTTCTCGTTGATTCTACTGGTTACACATTTCGTTGTCAAAACTCCAACTCTCCAAGTCTCTGTCCTCGGCTGGATTTGTGTTGCCATTTCTGTTGCTGTTTTCGCTGCGCCACTCATGATCGTGGTAATTAAAGCTAACAAAACGTTACTTCTATTTGATTTGTAAAGAGATTTACTTCTATGACAATTATGTTTTGGTATAGAAATGTTTAATATTTTATGGTTGTTGTTGTGAATGAACAGGCTCGTGTAGTAAAGACAAAGAGTGTGGAGTACATGCCCTTCACGCTTTCTTTCTTCCTCACTATAAGCGCCGTTATGTGGTTCGGTTATGGCTTATTCCTCAATGACATATGCATTGCTGTAAGCATTAATTTTATTTTGTTTGTATTTACCGTTTTCTAAATTTTCACTTTTTTGCAAAGATAAATATAAGAGGACACTGATGAGTTTTGTTAATCGGTATTGATATATGACTTTGTAGATTCCAAACGTGGTTGGATTCGTGCTAGGGATGCTACAAATGGTTCTGTACTGTGTTTACCGGAACGCAAGTGAGAAACCAGAGATCGAAAAGAAGATCAATTTGTCAGAACAACAACTAAAGAGTATTGTCGTGATGAGTCCGTTAGGCGTGTCGGAAGTGCACCCTGTCGTGACGGCATCGGTGGGTCCACCCTCTGACGCCGTTCATCATGAGGAGCCGTCAAATGGAAACCGCAAGTGTCACGTGGAGACTTCTCGTCCTGAAAACGTTTGAAGTGTCCATACGTTAAAATCAACAAAAAGAACAAGAAGAAGCAAAATATTTCTCTCTTTACTCTTTCGCTCTCTCTCGCCTCTCTGCTCGTACGTCGGGTCGGCCGAAGGAAGAAACTGAATCGGCCTTTTGTTAATTTCCATTTTTGTTTCGCTATCTTTATTTGATGTCCTACTTCGCTTAAAGTTTTGTGTTTCTTTTGAATTATCTTTCTTGTTAAGTTGTAGCTAGTGCTCCTAATTAAGAAAATTTGATATAATAAACTAGATTATTCCCTAGTAAGTAGCTTGTTGACCACCTTTTTTATGATTTGTCTTAAAATGTCACCGTCAGTTAGAAAACTAATGGTCTTGTTCCATTGACGACACATAGTACTGTTTTAACGATTTTGATGTTTAACAGATAGATTGAAACGTATGAGTCGGAAGAAATAGTATATGTACACAAGTTTCTGATCTAGACTATACCATAAAGTAAATACAAATAATTCTGATAAATATTTTTTTTTAAAATAATAAGTTTTAATTTTGTTTTTACTAACGTCTATTTTCCAAGTTAAAGTACAAAAAGTCATAACCGTTGTTGAAGAAAAAAAAAAGATTCAAGACGTCCCAAGGTTTTGATGAAAATGTATGCTAGCAAATCATTAGTATAATTAAAGGTGGGACGTTCGTACACTTCCAAGCAAAATTGCATCACCAACAGAGTGACAATCACTATATGCATACTTCATTTACAAAACGGGTTTGCTATAACAATATGCTATATTTATGATCTCTAAAATTAACCTTTTACTAGGAATAAATAACTTTTGAATATAAATAACCCGTATACTGATAAAATATGAAATATTTATTAACTAACGTTGACAACATAATCCGACAAAAAATTAAATCATAGCGAATTTTGATAAATAACTCATGGCCGTACATAATAGGTTATAATTAAAATTTTAAATTAGTAGTCTAAAAATACAAGAAGAAAAAAAAGACAATTGAGTATATATTTATTAGTTGACTAAATATTTTCTTATTAAAATCTGACTAAAAAGTCTAAATTTTAGAATTTTCCAGTAAAATTATCCTCGAAGTATTTTAGAGGTCAAAAGAAAGTCATACAAATATAGCACTGTCAATAGTAAAAAAAATTCCGACAAAAACTTGATAAGACCAACCAAAATCTTACAATCTGAACAGCCATCCTTAAAATAATTGTCAGATTGCGAGGGCATGTGACCCACGTTGTCCGAAACTCCGCGATTGTGGACATTAGCCACACCACAGAACCACATGAAAGAGTCTAGAAACACTTAACATTGGATCTTTGTAATTCAATCTTCGATCAGACGTAAACATCGCCACATGTGACTCATTATGGAACTATCTGTCAAAATCCCAAATCAAGATAAGCAAGGCTACAAAATTTACATGAACATCTTAACAACTCTCGAGAATCTCAATTAGAGTTTTTAGTTATTAAAAGAGTCCCCCTTTTTTGCCCATATTGCAACATCACATATAATGTACAGAAACTCCTGGTCCCAATGTTTGTTTGTTTGTTTTCTATGTTTGACAATAAATGAGAGTTTTAGAAATAAGAACAAAAACGGGTCAAGACCCCCAACCGGTTCTATCCGGTACTGTTGCTCTCTGATGTTCCCTGCTCGCTCTGTCGTCGTTTCTCCCTCAAACTCTCTCCCCACATCTTAGCCTCTGCAACCGCACGCTCCCTATTTATATCTCGGTTCAATATCCGAGCTGTCTCTCTCGGTGAATCTTCCTTCTCCGAACCATCTAAATCAAACTTACTTCCCGACCCACCTCCTTCATCGTTCCTTGTTATTAACCTCGCTCCTCTTTCATCTCTGTTTCTCCTACTTTCATCTTTGCTTGGATCATAAGCTTGGTTTGCAAGATAGGATAGTGCGGTGACAACATCTGCTATGAGCGGACGTGTAGCTGCCTGCTCTTGGATGCACATTGAAGCCACAGCTAAAGCTTGGTAGAGTGCACGAGTAGGAAACCGTCCCTTTAACTTAGGATCCGCCAGTTTTATGAACTTTCGCCTGTCGTTGAACAATGGGCGAGCCTGTTAAACACCAAAATGTTCCTTAACTGTTAAACCAAAAAGTCTCAAAATTTTTTGCATAAGAGAATGAGAAACTGAATGTAAATTCACTTAGAAGATAATGATGAATTTATTTACCCAAGCCACCAGGTTCTGCTCTCCATGGGGCATCTCGCTGTCTATAGCTTTGCGACCAGTAATGAGCTCGAGAAAAACCACACCAAAACTGTATACATCTGACTTGACTGTCAATTGTCCGGTCATTGCGTACTCGGGAGCACAATAACCATAAGTGCCCATGACTCTAGTGGAGACATGAGATTTGTCTCCAGTTGGTCCGAGTTTAGCAAGCCCAAAATCAGAAAGCTTTGGATGGAAACCCTCATCGAGTAAAATGTTTGATGACTTAAAATCTCTATAAATAACCGGAGGATTTGCCTTGTCATGTAAAAACTCCAAACCTTTCGCCGCACCAGCAGCTATTTTCATTCTCATGTTCCAATCTAAGGCCTCCTTATCCGGTGGGAGATCTGGGGCAGAGGAGAATCCGAAAGGAAAATTAAAAAAGATATTTGTTAGAGGCTGCCAAAAAAACCAACAACTACTACTTCTCAACTTAAGTCTACAAGTATAATTTATAAGTAATAAAAAATAAACAAATGAATGAAGAATCTGCTAAAGTTAGTTGACATTGACTAAGATCACAAAGAATCTTTGGCTTAATATTGACTAAGATTACAAAGAACTGCTGAGCTCTAAAATGGTGAAAGTTTGGAAAATAGCCAAAATTTACCGTGGAGGTGATCTTCCAACGATCCTAAGGGCATAAACTCGTATACCAAAAGACGTTGATCTCCATCAGCACAGTAACCAATAAGGTTGACTAAGTTGGGATGATGAAGAAGGCTAAGCATAAGAACTTCTACCAGAAATTCTCTGTTACCTTGTAAACCATTCCTGTCCAGTTGTTTAACCGCAACAACCTATAAGATATGAAGAAAAATAGATCACAAATTCAATAATTAAGAAAACAGTTGAAAGCCAAGAGAACACCAAGACTTTATAGTTTTTTTTGAAATGTATAAACAAACAAATTCGAGCGTCTAGTACATATCTTGTTGATTACCAACCAGGTAAAAACTACATAGTTTTTCTTTCTAATCAATACCCTCCATTCAAAAGGATTAGATTTGGAACACTACAAAATTTGCATTCAAAACATATAAACAACACTTTCACTATTAGGAAAGACTCATTTAATATACAAAGTAAAATCTCCCTCTTACTATCAGCAATTGTATGCAACTTTAAAAAATAGTAATGCAAAATGTAATTTCCTAAGATTCAAAACAAAACATAAAATTACCTGACCGGTGCTATCAAGCCTTCCTTTGTAGACACGTCCAAATCCACCTTCACCTAAGAAAGTGTCAGGATGAAAGTTCATAGTTGCAGCAGCAAGCTCACGGAATGCAAATGTATGAGCAGCAATCTGTCCAAGCCCATCCCTTGGAAGCAGTAGCTCCCTTTTTGACCCTCCATTGCTCTTTGAGCTAAGCTTTTCCCCACCTGCAACCGACATCAAGAGCAATCAATTTACCAAACGCATCCACAATCCTAAACTCCAAGAACAAATCACCTTCAAAGAATAAAACTTGTATCAATGTCTTCAAGGCACAGTCCCCAAATAACCAAATCTAAGATCCTAATCCTGATTCAGTAGGATCATGTGATCCTGATCCTCAGAAGGTCCAATACATATATATACCAACACACAGAATTTTACACTGAGGACAAACTTGGGACTTGTCAATCAGATCAAAACAGGTGAAACTGAAGCAAAGGATCACAATTTCCTCATCACCTTTCACCAAGAAATTCGAATACAGCTGAATCAGAACATGCCCAATAAGCCAAAACATCTCAGAAGCTCATATATCCAAAGTAACAGTGATTGAGAGATCAAGTTCCCGTAAGCTCAATCAGGATCAGACAACCAGATCTTGTGGGCATGTAAGCACAAGAGGAAAACGAACAGAGCAAATGAGAAATCATGATTAAAGCAAGCAAGAACCTGAAGGGAGTCCAGAGATGCTATTAGATACTGTCGGTTGTAATTGTTTCTTCTGACCATTAGATTCCTCAACTGGATTCAGCTTCTCGTCATCACTCGAATCAAAACACGAGAAACAACCCATCTCCTCTCCACTCAATTTTCCCAATATGAAGAAGATATCAATAATCCAACAAAACCCTTCAATCCTATTGTGGAATAAATGAACAGGGACGATTGGATAGATTAAAAAGAGCGAAACTTTGCATACACCCAGAAGGAAAGATGGATAATTGAGATTCTGGGTACCAATAAAAAAACAAACTTTGTTCAGATTCGAACTGGTAAAAACGAATTGGAGTTGAAAGAGAAAGAGAAAAGAGAAGAGAGAGAGAGAGAGAGAGAGAGAGAGAGAGAGAGAGAGAGAGAGAGATGAAGAAGCAGCTTCTTTTGTCGTCCACGAGTGTTCACACTATTACCAAATTGCGAATTAACGATGACGCGTTGCGGAAACTCAGTAAATCCTTCCTCTAAAACTCTTTTCGTTGACGAGATATAATCTCCAATACAAGCAATTAAAACTCTCCCTTTTTTGCTGTCAAAAAACAAAATAAGAAATTAATCTTTCGTTATTACTCAATATTCTCATTACAATGATTTGTTGGAGTCAATAAAAGCGCAAAAAAAACTTTGGTGTCTGTCTTTCGTATAAAGTGATAAAGGCAGAAGATAAAATTTCCTTTTTCACATATTTTTGTCACTTATTAAGTGTGATTGATCTAGCTTCTTATGGCATCAACCAAAATAGTATTTGATTCCATTGTTACCAATTGTTAAAAACTGAAAACAAAATAATTAAAGACGACGATGTGTCGATTTTGTGCCGGTTTGAAATTTATAGCGAAAAGTTTATTTGTTATGTGTATTTACAGTAAACACCTAATAACAAAAAAAAATCTTTAGTTTCTTCCTATAAGATGTTTTGAGAAACTTTTATGTTTCTTTTTTAATTATTATTTTATAAAATTCTATCAAAACTTTTGGTCAAACATTATTTAATATTGTCAATAGTCACAATTTTTTTTTTCCAACTCACTATGTATAAAACAATAATTTTGGCAAAAAAATAGAAAAGGTAGAAATACACCTATTGAAGTGATTTCCCAAATATATTAGGAGTTTACAACATATGGATTGGGCAGAATGATTTATTTAGTTAGATTCCCTATTCTATTCTCGCTAACGAAAACTATCAATGGTATTTTTTTTAAAATAAGTTAATAAGCTCTCGTTTTGAAGCAGAAAACATATATAACTTGCATTTTTATTTTATGTCCTGCTAGATACTTTCTATTTATAGACTCATATGAGAGAATGGAATATAAAATAGGCACTTATCAGTTATATTGACAATCAACACTAGTTGATCTAAATCAAAGCGAATTAAAACTTGCAAATCAAACTATATTATCTTCTTGATTGATTTGACAGTCAACCTCCGACTGATTACTAACCGAATCAATTGTGAGTTTAAGTGTCAATTACATATATATTAAGCTTCTTTTGGGACATAAAATGACCCAGGAGGTGTAACTCTTTTGTGGAATCTCTAAGCATTTTAAACCAAAATAAAAAACAAATGTGTAAAAGAAGTTTGGAATCTTATTGATGATCGCCGATGATTAAATTTTTGGCATTCGTAGAATCCTTGATCATCAGCCTCAATCAAGGATTATATAATATTTTGTCAAATGCATGATTGGTTTGACTAAAAGTTTGATGCAAGATTTGCTTGAATTGCGGAAGAACATTAAGAACTGATTACAAGGAAGAGTTTGTTTTTGTAGTTTTAGCATGAAAACTAGACTAAAATAATACTATTTGTTATACATCTAGCTAATACCATGTCCTTGGCTAAAACATGCAAAGCATAGATAATCATAAAAGTACCAGAAAATGATATAGAATTTCTCTAGTTTCATCTTTTAAAATAGAAAAAAAAAGGCCTCAAGTGTATTTTTTTTCTTCTCTAGCTGTGGCTTTACGTACGTGAGTATAGGCCGACCATGGACGATCACAAGATTTTTCTGGATCATAGTGTAAGAAGCCCAAAAATATAAATCAAATTGCTGATTAAATTACATTAATCCTCCAACATTATAAAGTTTGATGAAGAATATAAAGTACAACAAATCTATAAAAGAAGAAAAAAAGGTGAGAGATCGTGAGACGCATAACCCTTTCCCTTCTTAGTCAACGGACAATGGATTCCCCAAAAAAACACGAACCTCAGAAATAAAAGAAAAAATATATATTAGCCAAAACACACAGAACACAAACAAAAATTCACAATTAGTATCGTCGTAGAAGAAACAAAGACAACTCTAATAATGGGTTATTATCCATAATAATCCTCACACCAAAAAGAAAAAAGAAAAAAAAAAAAGACAAACAAACGAAAAAAGACAGAAAAAAATCAGTTAAAGATAGGGTTTTTATATTTCCCGGCGAAAAAATGGAGAAATCTGGAAACCATCACGCAACGGAATCATCGGAATCTCATCTTCACAAATCCGACGATCACGATCACAAACAACATTCCGATGATTCGGAACAAAACCTGCATTCATCGACGCCGGAATCGAAATCGGAATCCTCCTCCGAACTAAGCCTTCTCCAAGTCATGGAAGCCGTCGACGGTTTCATCGAATCACTTTCTTCCGAGAAGGACGATGATCAGGTACAGGAGATTCCACCGGCGGTGGAGCCATTCCCTGAGACGGTGGATTCATTGGTGTCGAAGATGGAATCTTCTGGTCTGGGACGAGACGAAACAGAGGACTCTGCTTTCATCGACGCCGTTAACCGGATTTCGAAATCGGTTATGAGATTGCGGGAGCTTAAACTAGATTCAACTCCGGTTTCTTCTTGGTTAAACCGGGCGAGTTCGGTTCAGCACCACGCTGTATCTCTTCTAGACGAAGAGTTCCGTCATCTTCTAGATCGGTGCAGAGAAGAGAAGAAGAACAGAAACAACAGCGACGGGAACAGCTCCGATCACAACCATTCTTCAGCAACCGAATCCGATCGGTGCGTTTTACCGGACAATGAGGAGGAGGAGGAAGAAAGATTCCCGGATTTTTCACCGGAATCGATCTCGACGTTGAAGAAGATCGCCGGAGCGATGATCTTCGCCGGTTACGAATCAGAGTGTTGCATGTCCTACGAAATGTCGAGACGGCACGCGTTCAAGGAGGAGCTTAGCGAGGTTGGATTCGAAGGGATCAACGTTGAAGACGTTCAGCGAATAGCTTGGGAATCTCTTGAAGGTGAAATCGCTTCGTGGATCTCTATCGTTCGCCGTTGCTCCACCGTGCTTTTCCCCGGCGAGCATTCTCTCTGCAACACCCTGTTCTCCGATCAAGACCATGCCGCTATTCGTAAACGACTCTTCACCGGTCTGGTCTCCGCTGTTACAATCCGGTTCTTAGATTTCTCCGGTGCCGTGGTTCTGACGAAACGGTCGTCGGAGAAGCTTTTCAAGTTCCTAGACATGTACGAGACGCTACGTGACTTGATCCCTGCCGTGGAACAAACTGATTCAGATCTGATCCAGGAGATAAAACTAGCTCAGACGAGGCTAGGTGAAGCAGCAGTGACTATATTCGGAGAGCTTGAGAAGTCGATTAAGAGCGACAACGGAAGAACACCGGTTCCGAGCGGCGCGGTTCATCCGTTGACACGTTACACCATGAACTACCTCAAATACGCTTGTGAGTACAAAGACACACTAGACCAAGTGTTCCAACACTACGAATCCAATCAAACAGATTCCATACATGAACCAGAGACAAAACCAAAGCAACAGCAACGAGAAGACGATGAAGAGTACAAAACGTCCGCTTTCGCTAGACAAATGATAAGGGTGATGGAGTTGCTTGACGCAAATCTAGATATCAAATCCAAACTGTACAGAGACCTATCCCTGCGATACATATTCTTGATGAACAATGGCAGATACATTCTGCAGAAGATTAAAGGGTCGATTGAGATAAGGGATTTGATGGGACAGTCATGGACAAGGAAAAGGTCGACAGAGCTGAGACAGTACCATAAGAGCTACCAGAGAGAGACTTGGGGCAAAGTGTTGCAATGTATGAATCAAGAAGGGTTACAGGTAAATGGGAAAGTGTCTAAGCCGGTTTTGAAGGAAAGGTTCAAAATTTTCAATGCTTTGTTCGATGAGATTCACAAGACACAGAGCACTTGGATTGTGAGTGATGAGCAGATGCAGTCGGAGCTAAGGGTGTCGATCTCGGCATTGGTGATTCCGGCTTATAGGTCTTTCTTTGGGAGGTATAAGCAACATCTTGATTCAGGGAAGCAGACGGATAAGTATGTCAAGTATCAGCCTGAGGATATTGAATCTTTCATTGATGACTTGTTTGATGGCAACCATCCTACTTCTTTGGCACGCAAGAGAAATTGATAACTACTTGCATCTCAAGCTATGAGGAGAACACGACTTGTTCCTTTTGCTTCTTCCTTCTTTTTTTTTTTTTTCCTATTTCAACCCTTCTATCATTATCTTTCATTGCCTTCATGTTTATAGAACCCGAGAAGCTACCATGAAAACTTTTTGTTTTTTTCTTACTTTTAAAAGTTTGAGATTTTTTATACTGTTCAGTCTATGTTTTAATTTCCTGTTTGAACAGATTGTGAGCGAAAATTGTTTAGAAACTACGTAGGGGTAAAGACACAAAATTATCTTCAAAATGTATTGGATATTTTGTGTTTTAAAGGATGATTTTAACTCATAATTAAGTTGATCTTGTGATATATATATGTATCTTGAAGAGATGTTAGATCCTTGGTGGTTTTCTTTGTGAGAAACTATAACCGATTCTCTGTAATTGTATATGAAAACTTAATGATGTGATCAAGTATTAGTATCGATTAGATCATATAAGCAGAGTACAACGTACATCAATTGGTTTTATGATAATTTCAAGTTTTCCCAAGATTAGAGTGGAATTTGCAAGAGACTTGGCATACAAGAAAGCAATAAAGCTGTTTAATCCACCAAGACAAGTATGTAGATAACTGTCGTTATTTTCAACAAGAAAAAGTAGAAACACATAAAGAAATAGTTGGGGTTTGGCTCATAATATGTTATAGATCTGTCCAAGTAAGAAAGGAGAAACTCTTTGGGTAAAGGATCCAAATAAGATTTCTTATACATGAGCATTTCTCGCATTGTAACACCAGAATGAGCCAAAAAAGGCTCTTCACATGTCTTTGTTTGGTAGTGGATAAAGAATTTTAGTTAAACAGTGTGGTTGGGGTCAAAAATAGATCACGGACTGAATATATTTGCAATCACACACGCATACAGACATTATCATCAAAAAGATCAGAAGAGAGTGAGCGAGTGAGATTAGCCACAATGTATCCTCCTCTCCTCTATCTCCTGCTTCTGACTTCATGCTTGACACATCAAGCTCTAGGCCGTGGTCGTGGCCGGTCACCACCGGATGCAAGCGTGGACCCTTCTTCTCGCATCACAGTCGTCGGAGTTGTCTACTGCGACACGTGTTCTATCAACACTTTCTCAAGACAGAGCTATTTCTTACAAGGTCAGGGATCTTGATTTGACATAGCATGAACTATCTTACACTTTAAATTATCTTTTGGGATTATTCAAGAAACTGAATGGAAACAGAATACCATTTTACTCATTCGATACAATTCGGTTTTGATTCGATTTCTATCAGCACTTTCTCAAGAAAGAACTATTTGTTCTAAGGTAATCAAGGCAGGGATCTAGATTTTCACATTACAAGAAGTGTCCTCAGACTTTAAGTTATCAAGAACTTGTCAATCCTGTTTGAAATCGGATAAAAACCGAATACCTCAATAGATTGTTTCAGTTTATGTTCCATTTGATATGGTTTTGGTTTCGATTTGGATTGTTCATAGGATATAGAAGAAGAAAAAAAAAAACAAAAACGATTCAGTTTCATCTTTTATCTGTGATTTGGTACAGTTCCGGTTTGATCGGATCGGTTAAGCCAGTCTATGTTCTTTCTCAGGTGTGGAAGTTCATGTGACATGTAGATTCAAAGCAAGTTCACCAAAAACAGCAGAGGAAGTGAACATATCAGTGAACAGAACAACAAACAGAAGCGGCGTTTACAAGCTCGAGATCCCTCACGTTGACGGCATCGATTGCGTCGATGGAATAGCCATAGCATCTCAATGTAGCGCTAAGCTACTCAAAACATCTTCCGACAACAACGGAGGCTGCAGCGTCCCCGTTTTCCAAACCGCAACCAACGAAGTATCTATCAAATCAAAACAAGATCGTGTCTGTATCTACAGTTTAAGTGCACTCAGCTACAAACCTTCCCACAAAAACACCACACTGTGCGGCGTTGGCGGCAGGAAAAGACATCACCGCCGAGGGAAAGAGGAGGAGGAGGAGAAGAAGAAGAAGAAGAAGGAGAACACATTTAGAGATTCGAAATTCTTCTGGCCATATCTGCCACCGTATTGGTTCCCTTGGCCATACCCGAATATGCCTTTGCCGACTCTACCGCCGCTTCCGTCTTTCCCTTTCCCTTTTCTACCTTTCGGAAACCCGAATCCCGCATTGCCGGCACTCGATTGGAAAGATCCGACCACTTGGATACCTTATCTTCCACGTTTTCCTCCAGGAGATCACAATCTTTAGGGACCAGATTCTTCTCTTTACCAAACACATTTGGCTTCCTCTGTTTCATTTTTTGTATGTTGTGATTCCCTCTGTTTTGAGGTTGATTGTGTGTGTTTATGATTTGATTACTTATTAATGTGTAATTATTCTTCAGTTACAGAAGTTTAAGATTTGGTTTAAGGAGGAACGTTTTGAAGGATTTTGGTGTAACAGAGCCATTTGTTTTCTTACAAGACATTGTTAACGTCAATGCAAGTCCATGAACGATGAAGCATCAACAAGAGGTTAGTACGCTAACACGAGTGACTGCGATCAGCTGTTTTGTATTTCTTGTCAAGACTCATGGAGATTGGTTGATTTGCATGATTGACCTTGATTAACAAAAAACCACTTCATGCTTACAAACTAAGTTGGGGTCTTTCACAAAAGTCTACTGAATATAAACATACTGCTGAAGGCTAGAAGTTTCATGTACATGTACAAACCTTAAAACATAAACCCAAAAAAACTAGAAAAGAGTTATCTTGACACCTGTGCTTACAACATACGTTTTCCTTTGAAGGTCTCCACTTGCTTCTTTAACCCATCGATGACATCGGAAGCTTCCTATAGCATTACCAAATAATTTGAGTATATATGATAAATTTTAAACAAAAGTGGATATTTTCCCTGTGGTAAAATTTTACAAAGGACTAACCCTTAGTTTCTTCCTTAAGGCATTCTCAGTCACATCTCTGCGGGCTCTTTCTTCATGAAAGATTTTATTCACTCCCTCCTGACGATTTTCCAAGTTTTGGATCTTAACTTTTGACTCCTTAAGCTGGTTCAATATCATATGTTAGTTAAAACAATGACATTTATACTTTTTTGTAAGATAAAGAAAAGCTGTACCTGAAACTCGAGCAGTTCTTTCTCTCTCTGCGCCTTCTCCAAGTCTTGGCTCTTAGCTTTTGACTCCTTAATCTAGTTCATCATAATAAGCAAATGGAATTTATTATACATAGCCAAAATCACATGACTTAATTTTGTAATACATAGAGAAAAAAAACTTACTTGCAACTCAAAAGGCAATTCCTTATGTCTCAGCGCCTTTTCCAAGTCTTGGATCTTAGCTTGTGATTCCTTAAGCTGGTTCATCATATTAAGAGATGGATTTTATTATAAATCGCCAAAACACTCAAAACGATATAATTTTGAAAGTTAAAAAAAGAAACTTTACTTGCGACTCAAGAAGCAGTTCTTTCTCTCTCTGCGCCTTTTCTAAGGCTTGGATCTTAGCTTTTGACTCCTTGAGCTGGTTCATATTGATTTCAAACGATGAAAATTGAATTTCGCGAAAAAAAATCATAAGACAATTTTTTTGTAAGAGGAAAGAGTTTTACTTGCAACTCAAGTAGTGTTTTTTCTCTCTGCAACTTAGAGACCACTTCGGCTGACTCCTGTTTACCCTTCTGCAACTCTGCTTGTACATTAACTGAGCTTGTTTCTTCCAAACTAAGGAACAAGAGAGATTTCGAGTTAATATGGTACCTTAAGAGAACATTATTTTAGAATCAAAGGAAACCTCAAGAGAGAGAGAACCTTATTCCAACACGGTTTCTGTCCGTAGACCTACTCTCAGGTTGTATATTCTTTACACTTGCTTGTGTATTAACCTATTTTGCAGGCGAGAATTATTAGAGACTCATATATACTGCCAAATGATTTATATATTAGTACAACAAGCTTTGTTTTTGTACCTGAGGGATTTGGTTTCTAACAAATGATTCAGAATTTTGCCTGCTTCTAGCTAGTACTGCAGTAGAAGATGATCCCCTATCAAGGTTTGTGGTGTAGATAGGTCGAGCTGGTACTGTAACATTACTTTCATAATTCTTCTGTTTCCGTCTTGGAGCATAACCAATCTCATGGCACCTTGAAGACCTATCAAATAAAAAAACATAGCTTTTAAGTGAAAGTCCAAAACCTCAAAATAGCCTGAGATGTCTAGTGTAGTGGAGAATGGATAGTAGTACCAGTAGTGCTTTTGGTGATGGACCAATCTGCCTTCAAGCTTAGAAAGAACGGCAGTTCGCTCAAACCCTTGCTTATTGTGAGCTGGTTGTATGAAATTAGCTTCCAATATACCAATAACACCGCGTCCATCACTTCCAGCAGCATTCCAAACCCTCCAAAAAGGCTGATGAAGAATTCAAGCAGAAATGTAAGCAAGATCACAAACAAAAAAACTTATACTACTATGTGAATTGTATAAGTCACCTTGATAAGCCGGTTCTTATGGTAAACATTGAACCCTTGTATGTCAATGTGATGGTGAGCATCTTTCACAAAGCCAAGCTTTATAGTAGCACACATCTGTTTTTTTTTTTTTTTTGTTAATTTGGAAAACACAGAGAATATAAAAGATTGTTTCGAGGAGACTATGAAAAGTAAGATGACTAAGGTAAAGTATTACCTCGTCTTGATCTGATGACCATTCTGGAGAACGCACAGGTTTGTATGTTTTCTCTTCCTTCATCATCATGTCGTCTAAGATGCTGTGATGTTCAACATCTTTTCCACGAAGAATGATTCTGAAATTTGGTGGGCGTTTGAGATACAGAATCGATGCATAACTCTGCATAGAGAAAAAAAATAAAATAAATGAACACTTGAAGAAGAATAGTTAGCAAATTGCAGTGTGTTAAGAGACATGGAAACCGCATACACGTAGTGAGTGTCGGTAAGTTAGGAAATGCCTCGAGTTAGGATAAGCTTTAGCCATTTCGATGTTCTTCTCATCTCTGTTTACACCTCTGAGTTGGATATCCTGTAGACAAAACACATCATCATTAAATTGTTACTTATATTAGTCCCAAATTGACAGTATTGAAAAAGTTTTCTTGGTAGTGATGTTACATGAGGGTCTGTATCAAAGTCAAGTTCCAACTTCCCTTCATCGTCCTCCCATAGATTATAAATCACGATCCGAGTACCTTGCTCTTCTAGATGATCAAACTGCACCACTTAACGAGTATGAGATACAATAAAAAGGTAGTTTCTTGATCGATAAAAAGAGAACATATATAACAGAACCTGGTCCAATAAATCTTGTTCGGATAGATAAGGTGACCACTTCACTATGGTCTCTAAATTATCAGACCAGCCATCTCTGGAGTTATAAACTATCTCCTTCCACTCGTTATCGACTAACTCATAATCAACCTACGCAGTGGAAAAAGAAACAAAGTTTAAGACGTAATGTTAAGTTTGAGAAGAAAAGCAATCTAAATAAAAAATTTCATTTTTTACCGTGGGGACAATTGCTTCACATTTTCTTGTCTCATAAAGAAAGGTATATGATAGCATACCAATGCTCTGTGTCGGACTAAAACAGAGATAAGAAAACACAGTTAAAATCGACAATGCCAAAGCAAAAAGAAGGTAAGAGCCATAATAATGATGTTGTGAAATGACTCACTTGTTTCCATTGGTTCCTCGACAACGTGAGAAGACAATTGCATCAGCACCAAGCCTCATTGTACTAGTTTTGAAGCCATTTCCATCTTCATTGTTTATTTGACAAATTTGAAGATTAGTTGATGCCAAAAAATAGCTAAAAGACAAAAAAAAAAAAAAAACTAGGAGAATGAATTTGAAAGGCTTACATTGACCAACCCTATCAGCCATATTGCGTTTTCTAGAATAGCCTAAAGAAAGGCACTCTCTAAACGTACTAGGATTCATCCCACCTCCATTGTCTGCAATGCATCAGTTTAGAGATTTCATAATCAGTCATATATAAAAGCAGTGGTAAAGGTTAATTAGCACAACCAAGAAGTTTGACTAACCTTCGACAATTAGAATGTTGCTTTTCTCGTCTCTTTCATTAGTTGCTGAATTCACATGAACATATGTAGCCCCATTATTTACCTGTGTTACATAATACATTCTTTAATGAGGTTCTGATTATGAATAATAAAAATTGACCAAGGAAGACTAACGAAGTCATGGTGTTTGACTGATATGGACATATATGGTAGAAATCTTTATATTTATTAAGTATAAGTTACCTCGTCTAGAGAATTGTCAAGAAGCTCAGCTAAAGCTCCAAGTGCCCATTTATGGCTTGTGGCGTTGGCATGAAGAAATTGAGGATGGACCCGAACCGCCGCATCATTGCTACCTACTTGCATGCAACACAAAATTCACCCAAATTAGGGTTTCGGAATTGCAAAGAAAGATCTCAATAATCTCAGTTAAGGTCAAGGACAAGGTTGAATTACAATAGCGAGGTAGAGGCACAGATTCGTCGTCATCTCCAGCTTTCCAAAACTGTCTAGAGAGCTTCGGAGTTTCAGGTGGCACGATCGTCAATGGTGTCACATCCAAGGGCACAATTTTCTTGCAACTCTCAGAGGTGCTCTCGATCGTCGTGATCCTTGGTTTCTTGGTAGACAAGCTATTAGTATCATCATCATCATCCTTGTCATAGTTTCTTAAATCTCTTTTGAGTCCCGGATGGGAAGAGCCATCACCGAGGGTCGAATCGGTAGCGCCTGATTGGGATTTAGGGTTTGTGCTACCAGAATCGGTCATGCCTCCGATCACCGACCGCGGTTTCTGAGGATTGATTTGATGAGAAGAATCCATGGTTGCAGTAAAACAAGGTTCTAGGGTTTCGAAGCAAGCCTGAAGTGTGAGAGAGAGAGAGAGACGTGAGACACCACTCGGACTAGTCAAGTAATATGGAACGTCTTTATAGAAAAGAGAGTGGCGCCACTTACAAATCAACCGTCCAGCTTCCCGGGCCCAATTACTATCGTATCCTCAGGCCCACCTGCGCTATCAATTGAAGAAGTAATTAGTTTTTTCTTCTTCTTCTTAATTTGCTCTACCTCTAATGTTAAACGCTTCCATCTTGCTATTTTGCAGCAAAGCTATGAGAATCTTAAGAGAAACTTTGAATCAGTTGTGTAGAGATTATGAATATGAAAACAAGATTTAAAATCTTTTAGCTGAAAAATAATAATCAGTTTTGCTTTGACCTGAATCAAAATACAAAGAGCGTTCAGATTTTTGATTTCGATTAGAAACTTAATAAGTGACAAAATAATTTGAATGATTTTAGAGTCGACGGCTAAAATATAAAAAGGTATAACGAATGAGGGATTTAGGGTTGCATATGAGATAGCCTATATTTATATTAGCTAATAATCATTACTTTTCTATATCAACTTGTTTTTGGTCAACCTTTTACACTAATTACCTTATTTTAAAGATATTTATTAACATTTTTAAAAAGCGATATTTTCGAGGGAGTGTTATTTTAGATCGATACTTTCGAGGGAACGTCGTTTCATCATATACAAGTTTAACACATGTAATTTATAACTTAATATATGAAAATCTAAATTCATTTTAGAATACATTATCATCTTTTTGACTAATTTATCTTTTGTTAAAGAGATATATATGACTATGTTAATTTACGCACAACGCACAATTAGTTTTAAAATAAATTGATCTCATTATATAAAAATATTACAAAAAAATAACTGCATAATCAAAATAGTTAATACATTATTTAGGTTTTGTATATGTAAAATAAATTGATCTCATTATATAAAAATATTACAAAAAAATAACTGCATAATCAAAATAGTTAATACATTATTTAGGTTTTGTATATGTATTTTTTTTTTATCAGATTAGAATTCATTAGTTTACTAGTTTGTGATGTTTGCACATTGCATAGGTGTGTTTTTAATTTCATAAGATCAGAGGAGCTGACTCTGTGACCCAGACAGACCCACTAAAAATGAATTGACTCGATTGGAGGCCACGTCACCAACAGTGGTATAACAGTAATTGACCTCGAATATAATGTCTCGCAGACTCATTCGTGCTTATTATCAGTTTATCATACACACATACACACTCATCGTCGTCACTCACCAACCATTACCAATTACCAACAAACGCGAGCACAGAGTTTTGAGCTCCCATGGCGGCCTCGTCGATGACTCTGGTTCGTTTCCATTTCCGTTTTTTTTTTCAGTTTGATTTTGTGTTACCTTTGCGCTTCTTCGTATTTTTCTTCTTCTCATACTCCTATTTTGGTATTTATCATAGTCAAATCCAAAGTCGCTCTCAGCTCAACCACCGAGATTTTATCAGATCAATTCCTCCGCTCTCACATCTACTTCTTTCCGATTTGGTACCAAATCCGCCTTCGATTCAATCTCGTTTTCGTCTTCAACTCCCTTCTCCGCCTCATCGCTCCTCCTTCATACGTCTTCTCCCAAAAGAAACCACCGCTGCTTCTCGGTTCAATCGAATGCTGAGGTTAAGAATCCTCTCATCTCCTAATCTTTTGTGTGGAAAACCATGAAGCGGGGTTGTGTCATTTTTGATGAATTTGGAATATTATTGAGCCGATTGATTCTTATATTCAGCTTAGTCCTTGGGCTTTTCATTTGATTTGACAATCTTAGAATGTGGATTTTCGTATTACAGCTTGTTGCCGAGCCCCAATCTAAAATCACTCACAAGGTGTATTTCGATATAAGTGTTGGAAATCCAGTGGGCAAGTTAGCTGGGAGGATTGTCATTGGATTGTATGGTGATGATGTTCCCCAAACTGTGGAGAACTTCCGTGCTCTATGCACCGGTAGGTCCAAATATCATATCATAGGAGATATTCCTTTGCACAAGTATGTCGTTTATATGTCTATGACTGTGATTGATCGTTGCCCAGGTGAGAAGGGATTTGGCTACAAGGGTTCAACATTCCATCGTGTCATCAGAGATTTCATGATTCAGGGAGGAGATTTTGAGAAGGGCAATGTGAGTTTTTTTTTTTCTGGCTGAACTCCTTATATTGTACCATTGTTCTCTGTCTTTTGTTAGCTTCATTTGAGTTCTTATTCTGCTCTATCTATTCCTGAAAAACAACATTCTTACATTAAGGCCTCTCTCAAATTAAGAAACTTCACCACAGGCAAATGTATATTTTCCTGACAGTGGATGTGTTTAGCTCTTTTAGAATATATAATGAGTGGAGTATGCTCCTATCCGCAAATCTTTTTTGATTGCCGTGGAGTTCCTTGAATTTTCCCGCTCTACATGTTCTAGGTAGTGGGGTAGAAACCTTAAAATGTAGTTTCTGCCAAAGGTCAATTTAAAGTAAGCTTGAAGCATACCATGATGGCAGGATGTATATTATTAAATTCTTGGATGTGATACACACGAGAAGTTAAGTATTGCTTTGTAAGGAAGGATGCTTGAGTTCTTACTTTTGCGCATTTAGAGTTTTTCTTAAAAAGTACATACATTTGGATCCATTTATAGGAAAAAGCCTGAGCTTGGAGAGCTTTCTACAGAAAATGCTCTCTAATTTGAAGATCAGTGGCTTTCTAACAAATATCCCTTCCCATTTTAGACTTTTGTTCTTTCATATAAGTAAAACCTGGGCTGGAGACATAAATTGTGGTAGGGAACATATATACCGTTTCTTGGATATATAACTAGCTATGGATCTTCTCTGCATGCCTCATCTAGAAATTATATTGTTATTTTCAGTTTCGGCACATCTCAAAAACTGAAGGTCCTTCTAGTAACTGCTACGATAGTTCCATTATAATGATACAGAAGTCTTATTGTTGAGCAGGGAACTGGAGGTAAAAGTGTATATGGCAGTAGATTCAAGGATGAGAATTTCAAGTGTAAGTTTATTCTTATTTCACATGTAACTCTGTTTCCTTCCTTTTCATTCTTCCCAGCTTTTTCTTTTCTTTTTTTTTGGCCCAGCTTTGCTTTGTCATTCATACTCAGAAGTCAGAACCTTTCCTTTTATAATTTTTTCATGAGAAGTAATAATTTGCAATACGTTGTAGTATCCCATGTCGGACCAGGAGTGCTAAGTATGGCAAATGCTGGTCCTAATACAAATGGAAGTCAGTTCTTCATCTGCACTGTGAAGGTAAAACTTATATATCCCTCACTGGTTAAGGCCTATTCTTATATTAGAAGTTATATCATATAGGTAGGCAAGAATCTAGCTCAGTGTCATCCTCGAGTGTCAACAATCCATCAGAACACAGTTATTATATAGAAATCAATTAGCTGAACTAGAGAATAGATTATTGACATTGGATTTAGATTTTCAGCGAATAACCATTTGATCTTTGTTGGTAAGTTGAGTGTATATCAAATTAATATGCAAAATGATGTGGACAGACTTCATGGTTGGACGGAAGGCATGTGGTGTTTGGGCAAGTAATTGAAGGAATGGAAGTGGTGAAGCTGATAGAGGAACAAGAGACAGACAGAGGAGACCGTCCCAGAAAGAAAGTGGTCATAGCAGACTGTGGTGAACTTCCAATGTCTGAAGCTTAAGTAAAAGATCTAAATACCAAAACCTTGTAGACATGAGATGGATCATATCTGTTTGCATTTTACACGCTTTCTTTTGTGAAATGGATTGTATCCCTTTACATCAGTGCAAAAATTAAAAAGTATTCCGCTGCCGGGGTTTGAACCCAGATTTCTACAGCGGATCAACATGTGCTACAGCGGATCTGTTGAACATATCTTTCATTGACTTATATATAAAGCCTAGTTTCTTAATGTAGGAATTTATATTCAAGTCCATGAAATATATGTTCACAAGTCCGTTTCTTAATTTAGGAATTTTGGTCAACTTTTTGGATACAATATATCTTTCAGAAGATCACAACCACAGAGACTTTTCACTGTAGAGATTAGAGAAAAAGAGAAACCCCTTTGCTTTATTTAATTAATTAATGGTACAGAATCAAGTGAACAATTAAAGCTGCAAAAAAAGAGACGTAGAAAAAGATTGAATCCTAGATAAATCTTATATCAAAGTGTAATTGAGACAACACAAACAAAGAAATGCTTTACTGGTCAAGGCTAACGTCACCCCATTGAACCTTATGCTTAGCAGCTAGATAATGAGCACCAACTGGACCACGACTGCCATAAGGATAATACTCAGGGATTCTCTTCTTCTCTTCAATCTCTTTAAGCAATGGAGTAAATAGTGACCAAGCTGCATCAAGCTCGTCACTTCTTATGAACAACCTTCTTTCTCCTTCTATTGCATCCAGCAGAAGTCTCTCATATGCATCTGGTATTTCTTTTGAATACCTTGCTGAGTATAGGAGGTTCAAGTTACTGCGATCTAATCTCATTCCTAAACCAGGGACCTTGTTGTTGATTTTCAAATAGATTGCTTCATCTGGTTGGACACGGATCACAAGCTCATTTGTAGCTTGATCAAGATTAGAACCAGTATTCCGGTTATACAAATTACCCGGAACATGTCTGAACTGTACCCTTATCTCTGCACTGTAATTTTACTTATCAGTAAGAGCCAATATGCAGAATTTCACAAGTTTGAAGTTATAGACACTACCTCCTGGTATGTAGTGCTTTGCCAGCTTTCATTAAAAAAGGGACGCCGTCCCATCTTGCATTGTCAATGAAAAGAGCAGCAGCTGCAAATGTCGGAGTCAGACTACCTTTTGGTACAGTTTTATCATCGGTGTAGGCTGGATATGTGACTCCTCCTTTCGTGTGGCTCTTGTACTGTCCTATTACCACATCTTCAACTTGAATTGGCCGCATTGAACGTAACACCTTAACCTGAGTTGTGCACGAGATTTTCATAATATGCTTTCGTGAACCAACACCAAAAATTTAAGGGGAAAAGATATCATACCTTTTCATTTCTGATATCCTCTGCATCCAAACTAACAGGTGTTTCCATGGCAAAGAGGGCTAAGATTTGAAGCAGATGATTCTGCATTATATCTCTTATTATTCCGTAGTTGTCAAAGTACCTGAAATAAACATACGAGAACAGAAAGGGAACATAAGCTTTCAATGCAGAAGAGATATTAAAGCCAGACAATGGTAAACAGGGAATTTACCCTCCACGTCCTTCAGTGCCGAAATCTTCGGAAAATATGAATTGCACATTCCTTATGTACTGCCTTGACCATAGCGGTTCAAATATAAGGTTTGAGAATCGAAGGACAGATAAGTTCTCGACTAGTTCTTTTCCTAGGTAATGGTCTATCCTGTAAGAACACAATTTGTAATTATCATATTAGCCCAGCATTTAATAGGGTCATCATTTCAAGAAAAACAAAGCTATAAATGCAAATATCTCCCACCTAAAAATTTGATCTTCCTCCAAATATTGCTTAAGGGATTTCGTTAAAGCAGCCGAGGTTTCAGAATCTCGACCAAAAGGTTTCTCGACGATGACCCTAGTCCATCCATTGACAGAAGAAGCAGAAGTGCTTGCACATTTCACAGCATCTACAAATATATTTGGTGGGATAGACAAATAAAAGAGGCGGTTTGAGATTCTTCCCGCCTGCAGAAAATAAAAAGGAAGTTTTACATATATTTGAAGAGAACAGATATAAAGGAATTAAAGCATTATTGTTGAGAAGAAGTTGAAAGCAGAAAGTTTTATGAAAATTTGGCAGTGGAACACATAAATACCTCATGTTCTTTAAGCTTCTTGTCCAGTTCAGTAAAATGCTCCGGAGAATCATACTGACCAGAATGGTAAAAACATCTCTTGAGAAATTCTTCCATCTTTTCACCACAGTTTGCTCTGAAATCCAGATGGAACAATGGCATAATACTTAATAATATTCACAAACCCACAAAAAGACTTGTCCTGGCAAAATCCTAGAAAAAAGATGGTTTTAAACCGTAAACGGAAACTTCGAGAGACACAACTGCTCACCTCTTATCAATTCTGCAGGTCAGGGTTTTGCTGACCATGTTTCTCAGCTCAACATCAGTCATCTTACTCCTAGAATAACCGTATATCGTAAAATGCTGCCACACAACAAATTCAAATCGTCAATCATCAGGTTTTAGGATGTAGAGTGCAAAACACACACACACACACAGAGACGATAAGTCGATAACAAAATAGCAAATGATGGATATATAAAAACAATCATCTAATTGGCAAGACCTCGGGAAGACAGCCTTCGTAGTAAAGGGCGAACAGAGCGGGGAATATCTTCTTCTTAGCAAGATCACCAGAGGCTCCAACCACCGTGATACTAACCGTTGACTTGTTTTGACCATCAGATTCTGCTCCAACCTTGGCTGCATCTTGAGATAGAACTGATAGCACCTCGTCTTTCAATCCCTTATGAGAAGACTTATTCTCTGTGGGGTTTGAATCGGTGACAATTGCACCTAAAAACACAATCTTAAATATTATAACAATACCTAATGATTCCATGAGTATTGACAAATTCCAGATATGTAAGGTATCCAATTCAATTGCACTTAGGTTCGATCAAAATCCCATACAGAAAAATAAAGAGAGAATCGAGCTAACCATCTTGCATAGAAACAGAAGCACGAGCAGACTTGCTCTGGAATCTGACACAAAGGTCATGAAAATCCAATCCTCGAGGAGAAGCAGACAGGAACGAGAGTGATCGATGCCGGTTACTTTTAACCGGTGAGAAAGAAGCTGAATAACCGGAACGATATGATCGGGAGCTAACGGAGGATGACAAAGCAGCCATCTTCAAAGATACTAGTATCGAGAGAAGGGAGGATTGGGGGCTAAAGATGAGATTTTTTAGTTAGGAAAGGAAGAAGAACATAAGAAACATCGACAAGGATTTTAAGGGGCCATTTCTGCAAATAGAAACCTTTTGAGATCTCCCAAAGGTTGTCTTTTGTCTTTAAAACTGCTCACTGGTGTGCTGTGCTGGTATGGCTACGTGAAGGGCTTCTGACTGCAGAAAATTATATTTAATATTCAATTCAACCAAATACCCCAAGTGGACGGATCTTTTTGCTTTCTCCTCTTTCATAAGAGATCTCCGAATATACGTCTCTGATGCTTTCTTTGCCATTTGAGCTTCTTTTTGTTTTTGTATAGGTAATATCGTGAGCCTGCTTTCAAATTACATGTGTAATTGCTGATACAAATATAGTTTGTTGGAAGCTGAAGATTCTGCTCTTTTTTGGGAACTTTTCATTTCAAATAGTCAAAACAAAAATGATGATGAGTTTACACTCTGACAGCCGCAAACGCTTTAAACAGACAAGAGAGAATTTCCCGTTTACATCCCCAATAATGAACAAAAAATCATTACTCTTCTCAAAACTACAAATGATAAAAACAGCTTAACAACCCTCCTCGCAGGCCAATAACCTGCACAACTCTTCAGCTCTCTCTCTCTCTCCCTAACATGATCCTCTCTACCAACAACAACAGTATTAAAACTACCAAAAACCCTCAAATTCTGTGATTTTGAAGAAAGCTCAACATCAAAGAACCAGGGCGACTTTCTCATGAGATATCAGCGGAGATGGATTTGCAATCAATGGCTCGTAATGGTCTGCTCCTCCACCACACCAACCTGAACCAGTGAGATCATTTTAGTACCTAATCCATACATATAGATGTAGAGAAAGGGTGTTTTTTTATTAATTTCATACCTGTGCCTTTCATGAATAGAAAGACTGGGACATCAAGAACTTCACTTCTTGGTTTGTGAGGAAGGAAGAACACACAGTTCTCTTCCTCTACCATCCCATCTGATCCATGCGCTTGCACCTATAACCACCCAAATTTCAAAACTTTAATTTGATGTAATTTGGAAAACACACAACCAAGTAACAAACTTGATAAGCAGATTACTACTACTACTACTCACCACATAGATTTCTCGTTTGAATTCTGTGGCGAGACATTCAATTGCAATGTCATCCCCAAATGCAGCTGCATGTCCTTCTCGGTTCTCTTCTACAGATAACAACCCATCTTCCGTATACTGCAAGGTGATAATGTCATACTCATCCTCTGATGACCCTGAAATCGACATGTACTTTGCCCAACTAAGTCCATCATTCACCGGCAGACACCTCTCTCTGTAGATTGACTCTGCTGCAGTTTCTCTGCAATGAAGGAAAACAAGAGTAATCAATAAACCCAAGAGCCCAAAGAGCATAATTTCACCTAAAGGTTATAGCTTTCTTTATCATGAGAAGAAGCACAAGAATGCTACATTTGCTATCTGATTTCCAAATTTCATATTAACCGTATGCTCAAGCATCAAGATCCAATCCCAAGAGAAACCAGATCTGAATCTGGAGCTAGCAAAAAGAAGGAGCTAAGTACCTCTGCATCCCAATCTGAATAAGCTCTTCAATGGCGGAATCTAGACTCTCCCGTTCATCTTTCTTGGCCAACAACTTCTCTTCCTGAACAATATGAATCCCCCAACCACTCTTCAGATCCGGCGAATACATATGCCTAATTGCATCCGTAATAACCGCCTTCTCTCCCTCGCTAACAGATCCGAAATCCTCCAAAAACCTCCTCACCGTACGCCGCCGCAAGTCTCGCGCGTCGATCCCACGCGCCTCCATGGCCTTGTGTGAAGCGGTGAACAAACAGTTACCGTCGGAAGAAACCTCTCCGCCGTGAGAAAGACGGAAAACGACGGAAGCAGAGGATTCGTCTTTCCCAGGATGTTTCCACAACACACCCCTAGCGTGCAGCCGGCTAAGATGCCGTCTCTGCTGCTCCTCAAGACCAAAAACCTCATCCCAGGCCGTAGCCGCAGCCTCCATGGTCTTCTCGACCGCTTCAACCGCCGCAGCCGCCGCGGATTGGTCAACAAGATCCACATCTTCGATAGACACGGCGGCTGTCGAAGGTTCCCTCCACGGAACCGTAGGTGAAGGAGATTGAAATGTAGCCGTGGAATCACACAAAAGCTTACCCATTTCTTACAAAAAGATCTGCAGGTTTCGTCTTCTTCGTTCTTCAAAACGAAACTGCAAGAAGAGGAGAGAGAGAGAGAGAGAGAGAGATGTACAGTTTCGGGGCTCAACGGCTAGATATGGGAGGTGAGAGAACACGACTGTTGGAGTTAACGGTCAGATCTGTGGAGACTATAACGCGGGAGAGGAAAGTGGACAAGTGGCGCTATCTTAGTGGTTCACTTTAACCCCCTCTGACTAACGAATGGCTGAGGCTTGACCGTGCTCCGGTGGACCACGCCACTCATAACATTTACCCTATTTTCCCAATTTTTATAATATTATTATTTAATATAATCCTGTCGTTTTAATAGCTGGCGCATCATACTCTAACGTGCACATGGTGCCTCCTTTTTGGTAAATTACCAATTATAGGTAGACACATCAGCTTTTAGTAACGGATTTGACCAATGAAAGAGCTCGCTCACACGTATGATCTGTGTCAGGGATGGGGGGGGGGGGCTTTTCAAACGAGCTTCTGCGCCACATGTGCGGACTTGTCTTGGACGGCGTGAATAACGTCGTGAATCGCGCGTTAATGTAAACGGTATTTTCTCTTTTTTTTTACCCGTAACGGCTAGTAAAAATGGAAACCCTTGCTTTTCCTTTTTATTGCCTATTAGAGTTAAAAAAAAAAATGGTTAAATAAACCTCTTTCAGGATAGGGAGTTGATAAAAAAAACCTTAAGAGTTAATAATGTTGTAGTATAACTCTTAAAAATGCATACAGTAAATGAATAAAATGAGAACTCCTAATAAGTTCCTTGGACTAATTTCAATACCAAAGGTTTTACCATGAAAAATAATTTTAAATTTGCTTGCAAGATTTACATATATTATACTAAAAATCACTGATATAAAAAAAACAAAAAATATTGGATGCCATTTCAGTTTAGTAGGCCTGAGTATAGGGATGTGTGTTCAGAAAATGATGGCCTGTTTGTGTTTGAAAGCCCAGATATAAACAGGCCTCAAGTTCATGTCTTGATTGCGCAGGTGTAGTAGATTAGATACATTAAAAGCTCAAATGACAAATCCATCCGAATCTTAAAAAAGGAAAAAAGAACATCTTTCAGAATGACACAGGCTAATCATTAGAAGCAGCTCTATGAATAGATTTTAGAATCTTTTGGTAAGGTAAAGCTTAAATTTATTTAATAGAGTTTTGTTACAAAGAAATTAAGAAATTTACAATTTTACTTTTTTGGTCAACAAGATTTTATAATAATAATAATTGACATGAGAACATATTAGCAAAACATGTCCAACGTTTGGTACTGTTTTTTGACCGATACAAGAGGGTAGAAACAGAGTAGAAATGTAAATGTATAGTTAATTAAGAGCCATTTTGCATGAAACCGAAACGTACATCTGGAAATGAAACGTTTTGAAAACGAGAAACGAGTTTTTTATGATATTAAGATATGAAACGTTTCAGAAATGTTAAATATATTAACATTGTAAGTATCGAACATCAAAATAGAGAAAAATATTTGAAATAACATTTTAATATAAAAAAATATAAATATTAAATAGTTTAACTAAAAGATAAATATTAAAACACTCAAAGCAAAAAATTTAGATTTTTATATATATAATACATTCATTAAGCTAAATTAATATCTAAATTAAGCTAAAAAAATGTTGTAGCATTCATTTGTTAATATCCGAATGATGAATTAAGCATCCATTACTGATTTCACAGTAACAACGACATTTATATTCCATTCGCAAACAGTGGTTTTGATTTGATAAGACTTTGTTTCTATCCCACAACATCTGCTACTTAGCTTGTCTCTATATCTGAATATATACAGTCCGTTTTTATGAACTGTATGCACTAAATTAAAAATTTATATCCTTTTTTCATGTATCGTTAAGAAAATTCAAACCAACTCGTTTTAATAAAAAGCATCTATGAATATAGCAAATTACTGAATACTTGAACCAATGAAACAGTCGTCTAAAGAACAATAAACACTAAAATGGGAAGTTTTTGTTTTAACTTCCACTTTATTTTCCATTAGTTACCAAAGAATACGACGAAACTCGCAAAAAGAAGTATGAAAAAAAAAAAAATTGCATGGGTCATTGAGAAATTAACAAAAAAAAAAAAAAAAAGGTAGCTGCGGTGGGCCGTATATAATTGGACTCATTAGGAAAAAATAAAAATACAAAACATTTACAGTATAATTATATATTTAATATATTCTTCAGTCTCTCTTCTTATCTGAAAAAAAACAAAAATGAAATTAAAATAAATAATACTCTCTCCACTGACATTGGTAAAGCCATAAACCAAAAAAGAAAAAAAAAAAAAAAAAAAAAGACTGTTCATCATCATTCATCCTCTCTCCCAAGACCAAAAAAAAAAAAAAGAGACCATGAAAATGAAGAAGAAAGGAAAAGTTTACCCATCTCCACCACCTCCTTCATCATCATCTCCATCTTCTTCATCAAACCATCTCAACGAAGAAGACGATGATGATGTTTCTCTCTCTGTCTTGAAGCTTTTACCAGCGACGATTCTGGTTCTGGTGTCTGTTCTATCAGCTGAAGACAGACAGGTTCTCGCTTACCTAATCACCAGAGGAACCACCATTTCCGATCGAGGAAACTGCGGAAGAAGCTCTTCTTCGACCAGTAAGAAGAAGAGCAGCAAAAATCACAAGCCACCAGTTTTCGATTGCGAGTGTTTCGATTGCTACACTAACTACTGGTTCCGTTGGGATTCGTCTCCGAATCGTGAGCTTATCCATGAAATCATCGAAGCTTTCGAGAACCATCATACCGGTGGAGATAACAACAACAACAACAACTCTGCTTCTTCTCGCAACAAATCTAATAAGAGAGGTAAGAAGAAAGAGAAACCGGGTCGTCGGGTCACTGATTCGGATTATAATAAGCACCAACCGGGTCTTCGGGTTTGTGATGATAAGGATACCAAACCCGTCCTCGTGGAGCCTATGACCACCGAAACCACTACTGTTTCCGAGAGCCGACACGTGTCGTCTTCACCAGCTAGATTGAGTGATGATAAAGCTGAGGTGGATCAGGTTCATGTGGTTGAAGAGGAAGAATCGAAGGTGGTGGTATTGCCGGCGGCGGGGAGTATGACGGCGGGACACAAGGGAATAGCGAGGAAGGTTTTGCCGGACGTGTTGGGTTTGTTCAATTCCAACTTTTGGAGGCTTTGGAATCCGAACGCGTAAAATAAAGCATCATCCAACACCTTCTCTTTTTAAAAAAAAGTTATGCTTTTTTTTTTTTTCAATTTTTTGATGTTGCTGCTGTTTTCAGATTAAAAAAAAAAAAGTAAAATAATCTCATCATCATCTTATGACTAGACTCTGCTTTGGGTTATGTTTAATATTGAGATTCTTGGTTGGTAACAAAAACAAAAATGCAGCTCCTTTAAAAACCCAATAGTTTCTGTTCATGAAATTTATCTTTTTAACACCATATATCTCAAGTTCTTTCTTCTTCTCCATGGAAACTGTGATTGTGGTTGGTTTGAACAAATATATTTTGCAGGTAATATGTGCAATGTAGGCAATTTTGTTTGCAATTTTACTTGGTTTGGTGGTGAGAGACTCTAGCTAGTCTCTGTCTAGGCGCAGTACAACGATTTTTTTAAGAAGAAGTAGATTTGCTTAGGAACAAAGTTTTGTGGATTAGGTAGACTGTTTCGAAAGGTGGGCCAACTAATATATTTTTTTTCCTTGTGATTGAGGCATCCCCTCCTCTCCTTCACAGTGTGAGACTGTGGTGTCTCTCATTCCCCTATCTATCTACATTTCCTTTATCTATCTTTAAGGATATATCTTTAGCAACTTCCTTGTGTTGTTGTTTCTTTAGTAATATCTATGTTTTAGTTGTTTCACTTTTTTACCATATCCTTTATATAAGATACCTTTTTTTGGGGAAAATCCTGATAAGGTGTTTGAAAGTCTCAAATGACTCTATCTTCATACATGGTTCTAGTTCTGATCAAACCAGATCAGCTCTGAAGTTGAAGATGCCTCGATCACTGTAATCTTTAACTGTTAATAAAATGAAAAAAAGATTCAATACATAGAGAAGCTACAGAATCAAACTTGAGAGTCTGTAGCTAGTGACAACAATGGGGAACCTACACCAACTACTCCAACATCTCTTTTAATTCCATCAAAACTTATACTATTCATATTTATTAAAAAGGTCTTAAAGGTAGCTTAACTTCCCATATTTGGGCTCAATGCCAAATTGTTGTCTAACCCTTTATGTGGTCAATCCCAATATGTTTTCCTTAATTTGTGTGTTTGAAGTACTTAAACTAATAAATGTTTTCTATTATCATCTCTCTGATGATCGCCATAACTTCTGAGAGTATGCCTGATAAGAATTGCATTTTATATATAAAAAATATTGTCAAAAGTAACAAAGTGTATATGTTTTGATCTCCTACTAGCAGTAGTATCCTTGTTTTGTCCACACACATGATGACTTATTAATGAAGTTTGAAATGTCAGTCAGCAGGTGATCTAAGTTCATTTTAACAACACAGACAAACATTTGGTTTAGTTTAATATTAGGAACCCCAAAATTAAAACCAAGACTTGAACCAACCTTTGTAACCCAGTTTCCAACTGAATCAGTATAGTGTCAAAGAGACCTACCCGTTTAACCAATCAAATCTGTTCTCTGTCAATTGGTCACTAACCTTAGCTTATAGTTCTGCACCACTGACAACTCACCACAATGCACAATGATTCTCTCACCCAAAACCAGAAATAGACATGCACCACAACACTACTACAACTACCAAAGGCTTCTTAAGCCCAACAACAAATATCGACCCACATAACAGGCCCAAAGTTAATACAAGCTTTAGATGTGCTTTTCCACAAACAAAAAAGATTATATATAAAGAGGCTGCGACGAAGTTGGAAAAGAGAGAGATTGTAAAAGAAAGAAGAACACGTGCGCCCCCCCAAGAATATTCTTTTGAAGGGGTGGGTAGTAGGATACATGGATTCAAACATCTGATCTCTTCTTCATAATGAATTTGTCATATCTTCTTCTCCTTTTTTACTTTTGGGGGAGCTTTTGATTGAATGGTCGTCAAGCAAACATTGACTAGCAATAGTTAATGGTGAGCTACCCTCTACTTTTGTTTTCTCTCTTTTTGGAAAAATATATATTATATGTATATGTTTCTCTCTTTTTGGAAAACTATATATTATATGATATACATATAATATATACTTTGGTAAATGGTTTCAACTTCAACCTCGGAGAACTATTTATCATCAATAAGATAATCACGTCTGCGCCACTGTCAAAATGATCTTCGTTCCCTTCTTCTACAAGGATTAAAAGTTTGACCAAAATAAAATTCCTAACTACATATGAATATTTTACTGACGTCCAAAACCAAAACCAAATGTAAATAAACTTTTACTTTTCTTTATCTCGCCAAGGAAGCAACAAAAATGAAGAATCAAGTTTACATCATAAGCTATATCCACGCAATTTTTAATAATATCTAACAATTTCAACCATATACCAATATGTGAAATATATCTCGCATGCAATGATGAATATGATTACATCAATTGAACTGTGATTATCGTTTAGTAATATTAGTACTATTCGCAATAGAACGAATAAAACTTTATGTGTACTAGTCATCAGGTTCAATAAAACTTAATGGAAACAACAACTCGTGCATGTTGTATATTCAAAACTCGGAAAAGACTTGTATGTAATTAAGAACCATTCTATCAAATTTTTAATTATTATTGTTATGGAGAACTTTTAAAAAAAAAAATATATGTGTGGATTTCAAACATAGTAGACTTTTGATTGATCAACTCAATAAAAAGAGATATTTATTATTATATATGCACGGATAAAATGACGTTCGCCTGAAAGAAAAACGTAAACCCTTATATGACGTATGTGGAAAAGAACAAGAAAATCGTAATCCCTACTTTTATGACATCATTCGTGAGAAAATATAATTGAAGATGAGATTCATTTGTTCGTAATCATAATCAATCTTCTATAATTCATCCATTAGTAAAAATTCTATGTTCGAATTCTTACGTCGGTGCATGCATCTCTCCTTTTTCTTTTTTTGTAAATAATCTACTTAAAAATAAATATCATGACAGCAAAATGAATAGTTGATTCTTACGTCAGATCACCAATAAGTCTTTCCTCCTTAATATATTGCAATGAGAATTTACTAAAAATAATGTTTGTTAATGCGCATTTCTAAAGCACTTTCAATAGTAAACGTTCTTTGTATACGTAGAGATCTAGCTATGATCCTTATCCATTTTACATATACATATGAATTTCTTCTTCTTCTTTTTTGTCTGTGATTTATTTATTACTCCTGAAAACACCCAGATCTGTAATAATGTTTATATATTTTAAGAAATACAATGAATTATGGGTACATATATATAATTCAAATTAAAGTCATAACTTAATAATGTGCGTAAATGTTGTAATTATGTAAAATGCTTAATATATATATACTTACGTGTCGTCTACGACACAGCTTCTCTTTTAACGATTAGGAGCGGGCCGCCTCTTTCGTCTTTGACTTCATACAGTCTGCCATAAATATGTCTATATAATATAGACTAATCTTTAATATGTTCTTTCACAAACAAGAAAAATCAATCTATCTTCTTTCTTGTTTTCGAATTTATCAGTTGTGGATCGGTCGTCTGTGTCGCTAGCTAGTAAAAACTCCACTGTTAAATATATATAGGTGAGAACATGGAGGGGTACGATAACGGGTCGTTGTATGCTCCATTTTTGTCGCTAACATCTGATTCGAAACCGGATCATAAGTTGCATCAAGGCGAAGAAGAAGAAGAAGACGGGCCAAAGTCTAGAAGATCATCAGAAGGTTGTTCGAGGAGCAATCTCGAGTCGAAAAAGAAGGGGAAGAAACAAAGGTATGCGTTTCAGACGAGGAGCCAAGTGGATATTCTTGATGATGGTTATCGTTGGAGGAAGTATGGACAAAAGGCCGTCAAGAACAACAAGTTCCCTAGGTTCGTTCCTTTTTCAATCTCTCTTCTTACTTCTCTTGATCCAATTGTTACCATATAACTCGTAACTTTATTTTTAGTGAGCATACATAAAAGATACAAAAACTAAGGCCTATACATACTGAATCAAGTTAGATTGATCTGTACTACTAGTTTGTAAACTTCGAATAATAATACATGGTCTTCATGATGATCATATATACACAGCAAGTAGACTCATGCCCTGATCTTTTTGTCAATATTAAAAAAAAAAAAAATCCTTAATTTGGGGAACAAAGTCATATATAGCATTCATATCAATTATCAAGATTCAAGTATATGTGGATTTAATTAGTTCTCATGGTGATTTAAATTGAAAGTGTTTTGGTGAAAAATTCATTTCATGACAGTTAATTCTTCTTCTAAAGAGACTAATTAGACAACAATTATTTTCAAATCAAATAATAATGTGTTTTGAAATTGTATAATAGTTTCTAACTTTGAACCTATACAACAAATGTACAGGAGTTACTATAGGTGCACATATGGAGGATGCAACGTGAAGAAGCAAGTGCAGAGATTAACAGCGGACCAAGAAGTGGTCGTGACAACCTACGAAGGTGTTCATTCGCATCCCATAGAGAAATCCACCGAAAACTTCGAGCATATTCTCACTCAAATGCAAATCTACTCTTCTTTTTAATTTATTTTTATTCTCTCTCTAATATTCTTATACACTACTTTTGTAGCATATTATAACTCTGAGAGATCTCATTGTTGTAAATTAGTTTTAAAAGAATAGAATGTGTTACATTTTTAACGCGTGTTGAAAAGAAAACAACAATGATCAACTACAGTTTGTCATCATGGTTGTATATAATATAAAGTTGTAGAGTTTAGAATATATACTTTTAAAAGAATTTTTTAACACTGTTTTCTAAAAGAATTATGTGTATGAGAAATAATGCAATTCTAGGTGTTGTTGTTAGCATTTCACAGTCTCGTACTAACCTGCCGAAAGTTGCAAGAAAAACTAGAGGATGAGCTATGGAATTCTGAAAGTTAGTTGTTAGAAATATGAATTGACAAGCAAAAGTCAGCAGTAGTTCAGCACTGATGTGTTTGAAACTTGAAAGTGAAATCAATTTATATAACAAGTAACAACAACAAAGGTGATTGGCTAAGAAATAAAAAAAAACTATGTTCTGCAGCTAAATCAAACAACCGTCTGCATCAGTTCTTCATGATCCGCTGTCATTTTCGCACAACACACATGTAAGGCAACCCGCTTCGTGCATGCATTAGCACAAACTTCTTTTTCAAGATTACGGATTATAAACCCTCAGCTTATAAAGTTTTGTCACTATGATTCTACAAAAAATATACAATCAAGCACTTTAAGACTAATGATATGACTTTAAACCTGTTATGATTTAATTTTCAGGGAATCTTTGGAAGACATCTCCAATTCTATCAGTCGTATAACTCATAGAGAAACTTAAAATCCACAATTCTGTACGAACAATATGACCGGCTAAGGTAGGGTGCCATCGATCCTTTTCATGTAGCTCTTGGTTGTGTTACACTTGTATACATAGTCATACATAATACATAGTATTGATTGGGTTTAAATCTGTGCAAATCACTAGAATTATATAATGCATCCGTTTGGATTTTTAGATTCAAAATTTGGACAAAAGCTTCTCAACTTAACATCCAGTTGCTAACACAAAACAGAAGGAGCTGATGAAACAAACAGCAGCAGCTTGATCTTAAAACTGTTTTTATAAATTTATTATTACCATGCTCCAAAAAACGTAGGCCCTCTTGACTTACAAAACATTCAAGAATAAAAAACCAAGATGCTGGAATCTAAGAAGTTTGGATTTTTAGATCCGAGCGGATTCTGCTTCCATATACTTACAAATCCTCTCCATAACCTCTCGTCCTTTAACGCTATTCTGCATGAATTTCTCGGCGCACTTCTGCTCAACTTTCTCAGCCATTGAGGCCAGAGCTGACAAGGGTTTGATCCTAATGCTTGTCTCCTGGCTACAAACTGTCCACGCTGATGGATTTTCTGGATGTGGATCATATCTTATCCTCTCCTCCACTTCAATGAACTTTTGAAGACTAATGTTCTTGGTTGTTAGCTGGATTTATAACCGTTTGTCCATATCCAAAAATAAGAACGAATCAAAATAATTAGACGTCTTTCTCCACCGTCACACCAGCTCAAATGATGTATTAACTATAATCTGAACACCCCTCTAAAGTTGCTATTTATGCCTTCTAACTATACAAGCAGATACATCATGCCAATCATACAGATTACAACAAACTATTACCAAATCTTACAAAGTGGGCATTAGTGTGATTGATTGATCTTTCAACTAACTAAGTGTTTCACCAGCTCTAATTAAGCTAAACTAACCAGGCATCTATGGTTGTTTATGCCTTGAAACTAGTAACAAATACTTTATCCCAATCAAGCTCCCTCTTTTACAGATTACAAACTTTGCAGTCAAAGCATAAAGAAAAGTACCTGCATAGAACGTGATTTGCCATCCACAACAGTTGATTCAACACAGTGACAGATGTCCTGGCCAATGATCCTGTGGAGAAACCATGGACCAGGAGCATGGATGGTGAGAGCACGTGTGGTGTGTAGTTTACCGGTCTCAGTGTCAAGTTTGCGGTTCAAGGTGTCGACTTCAAGGATGTGCGAGAGGATGCGTTTGTTTTCAGGGTCTGCAAACTTCCTCCATGAGGCTGCACTCACCCGCTCCCACGGATGCTTGTAGACATGCTCTTGTCTGTATGCTTTTACCATCAAGAATCTAAAATACCAAATACACCGAAGAACGTATCATAACCAAATTAGATTGAAATCTCGAATCTACATACATGAACCAATTTATTACAGCATATAAAAGGATTTCTCAGACAAGGATTTGCACTTTTAAGTGGGTTAGACAAAACTAGATCCAAACACAAAATGATTTGGTCCACAAAACATTGATTTCAGCTATGATGAAAAAGAACAATTTCGACAAAAATGAAGATGCTTTAAACGTTGATTCCCCAGATGAAAGATCAAATCAAACTCGGGTGAATTGGATTGGAATTTAGAGACACGCAATTTTGGCACTGTGGTGACAAAATTTGAAGAAACAGATGAAGGGAAGAAAGAAACGCACTGTATAAGTTTGACTCGAAGCTAATCAAAACTGGAATGTAATTGTGAAAGCTGGGAAGAGAGAAGTACCTAGAGAGATCAGGTCGACAAATTTCAAGATCTTGGTGAGAGCGTAATAACCCAAAAATGGAAGACGTGACGAGGGTAAATAGAGAAATGGAAAATCAATGGACAATGACGGTGTGGGAGACTCGAGACTTGCGGCTTCCGTCTACGAACCACGATGCTTCTCTCTTTCTCTCTCGTCGGCGGCTCACAAGTTTGGGCCTGTTTAAAGACCTGTAGAGAGACTCTATTGTTTTGGGCCTTTTCCTTTTCCTTTTTCCCCTTATAGTTATGGCCTTATATATCTGTGTTATTTTCATTTTGCTAGAATCTAGATTATGCAAAGCATGAATGATTTTTGACAGTTAGATCTTTCTTAAGCAATTTAAATGCTTCAGGGGATTCACTTCTCAGCCAATTGTACAAGGAATTAAAAAAGTTGGAAGTCATGATAAAATAACTTTGAGGGTCTTTTAATATCATATTATTGTATTGAGCGGTTTATATAGCAGTAACAAAATATAGACCAATTATCAAACAAAATCCACTTCATCTACACTGAGTCACTTTTAATCTAATCGGCATCTAGTTATTATATATATTATTATACAAGGCTGGTGGGCTAGCTTGAACCGGCCTGGTGAGAATGCCAGTGATGAAACTCCGGATTTCAGGTATGATTTGCTTGACTAACTTTGCAAACCTGCATTAGATAATCAAGTATTCCTCAATTAAGTGAAAGAATAAAGTTTAATTTCCAAAAACAAAGTGTAATGATGTTGAGATTTTTGCGTACCATAATTGAGTGCTGAGCTTAGTGAAATGCTCCAGAACGAAGAGTGTGGTAGCTTGTCTTAAGGCCACAGCATTAAATGTTTCCGCTAACTCATACATTTCTGGTATCTTATCAAGAGAGATTTCCTGCACAAATAATTTCCATTTTTTATATATATCTTTTTAAAAATACACAGAGATGAGTCCCTCTTCTCTGTCAAGATATAAATTAAGACCCTGGTCAAGCGTTTCTTACCTGTGCAATTTTGTATTCACATTGACGTTTGAGGCTGTGGAGAAGATATTGATCAGCTGCTACAAGCAGGTCTTTAGCCAGATGTTTGGTGATGTTAACTGTTCCTGTGTATATGTAACTCATCATAAGCTCAAACACTTCCCATCTTATGTTTGGGATCTCCACAATTGGGGCATTGCGTTCCTAAAACCAATTCACTAGTTAGTTGAGTGATGATGATATTGTGATGAGATCATGGAATATGTTACCACAATCGTAATTCAGATGCTTACCTTGTATAGACCATCAAACATTGCACGGAATATATCAGAGGATGCTACCAAGCAAATCTTATGAGCATAGAATTCTTTACCTACAATATGACATGGATACATATATTCAGTTAAAAAAGTTTTATATCATAGGTAGATTTAATGAAACATAAGTAGCATTAAAATGTTTTACCATCAATGAGGAATGTCACGTCGGACAAAGTGGAGTTGTTCACGAATTCTTGACCCAAAAACACCTTCAGTACAATAATCAATAACAAGTCAAGACCTCAGATCAGAAACTTTTTGATGCTTGAAAGACGAAATGAAAATTATTTACCCGTTGGGTGGGAGAGGCAGGAGCGGAATCCTCTGGTGCAAAAGATGCAACTTTTTTAGCTAATTCGTATAAAGCACTTGAACTATATCTCTGCTGCTTGACGCTTGAGAAATAGAGAAGTTCCAACAATAACTCTACTCCTGCATTAGTATCGCCTATAGATCAGAATCGGCAAACCAACAACAAAAAAGTTAAGAAGAAATAAAGTCTGAATATGAGATTCTTACCTTTGTTATCCATGAAAATTAATTTTCCATCTTTAGGGTCACAAAGATGTGCAAGAGCCAGAGCAATTCGTATTTTTATGGACTTCTCGGCTGTTCTCATCAGGTATAATAATTGGTTTAGTACCTGAGAAAAGTAGAACATCGAGGGATTAAAATCATCGCCAAACTTAATCGAGAACCAGAAGGTCAACAGAAATAGGTACTCACAGGTCCATGAATCTTGTTCTGTAGCCTCTTCAATGTCCGCACCACACAATCCTTAGTCGGCTGCAAAAAGAATACTTCCGATTAGAGTTTGATAATTCTATAGATTGTTTTACAAATATAAGCAGCTTAATGCATACTTCGACAGTGTATGTTTCATCTTGAAGCTTTTGAATACCCCCAGTCTTAATGAAATCTGCTACGTTTTCCTATTCACAGAAAAAAAATATTAAGCACTCATGGTATATCAAGTGAGAACAAAGTATAGATTTATGTAAAACTGTATATTGCGAGTATGGTATACCTCGTTATCAGCAAGGCCATACAAAGCAAATGCAGCATTGTGTTGCACAGTCCCCGCTTTCACATCAAGAAGATTTAATAACGAATTGATGCCTCCTCTATGTGCAATGCCAGCTTGATTGTGTGCGTCCTGCAACATTCAAAACATTAGAAATACAGTAAGCATAAAATTAGAAATTGTTCCTAATACACAAAAGGTCTGATAAAGAGGCAGATTCCAGAACTACAAAAACATTCACATACTAATTCAAAAACATAAATACCTGCGCCAATCGACCAAGAGCAAAAGCTGACATTTCCACGACCTGCACATCTGATGATTCAAGCATCTTGATCAGTGGTGAAATGGCACCTCTCTGGCCAATGTGCACCTGCATGATCATGTTGCATTGAATGAGCATATGCTAAGATTATAGACTTATAGTCTAGCGTATCAAGGAGACAAGTTCATACCTTGCAATCTGAATCAGGCGCAGCAAATTGGCCTATTAATAATGCTGCCTCTCTTTGTGTTTCCAAACAAGTAGAGCTGCAGCAGTTTATCATAGCCAACAGTTACAAACCATATTTGAATTTTTAAGATTAAAAATCTGTTTCAGCAGAAGTAAAAGGGAAGAAAGATAAGAAAGCATACCTAAGTAAACCAATTACTGATTGTAAGGCACCAACACGGATAACCTCTTTCTTAATGTCAGGAGATGAATGGACAAGATTTCCGATTGCTCCAATCTACAAAAGTCCATAGTATATTAGAAGGAACTGAGCAAAGCAAACCAATTGCAACAGTCTACAGCGAGATAAAGAACCAACCGCTTCACCGTGCACAGAAGAATCTTCTGATTGAAGCATCAATACAAGCGTGGGCAAAGCATTCAACTCCACAATCTACATAGTTGACTATAATGTGAGTAGCATGCCTCTTACAAGACAAAACAAAACATCAAAGCAGTAAAAACATACTTGGATCTTGTTCTCGTCGTTTCTAAAAGAAACTGTCCGCAAAGCCCCTGCTGCAGCCCTCTGTACTTTCTCATCCGGATAGTTTAGAAGCTCGACAAGTGGTGGAATGCCACCTTCAACCCTGAAATGTATTTATCAAAGGTGTTAACGAAAACATCATAGTCAATACCATAACCAATAACGAATATCAGACACTACTGGTACCTTATGTCTTTTTTAATCCTTGGATTGTCATGAGCAATATTAGTGATAATATCAGCGGCTCTCCGAATAACAGCATTAGCAGCCGTGCATCCAGAACAAATAACCCGTCGCTCCAACAACTTCACGGTGGGAACTATAGCTCCAGCATCCACAATGAGCTGCTGGTAATTAGGCTATTTAACAAAAAAAAGAAGAAGCTAACATCAGCACAAAATGAATCTAAGATAGTTGCAACTCGTCAATTTCGCCATTCTTCCAAGAGAGATTGAAACTGGACAACTTTGAAGACGAGTTACCTGAACCGCAGCAATAAGTGCAAGAGCAACAGCACAATCTTTCTCTAGCTTATGCTTGCAAGATTTGGGAACATCAGCGTCAACTTCGTAAGACCACGGCGATAAATATCTCACCAACGCAGGGATAGCCCCATTTTCAACGATGATTTCCACATTTTCGTCTATATAAACAGATAAGTTAAACAAATTAAGCCAAAATCCGCAACTGAGCTCAAATAACTATGAGCTTGAGCGAAACAATTGCCAAGTAGAATCCAAAATCGTTGAGAAATGATTCAAAATCGCAGAGTATCACATAACGTTGAGCAACTCAAGGAGCCACAACACCGTACAAAAAAATCGTACGAGTAGCAAGCAAGGAAAGCGAATCGAGTTCGATATAACCACCGATGAAGAGGAAAAGCAAAGAAGAGTAAGGTACCGATTTTAGCCAGGTCGGCGATATCACCAGCAGCGTCTTCGACATCTTCGAGATCAGGTTCATCGTCTGAGAAGATGGAGTCAAGAACCTCGACGTGGCGACGGATCGCGGCGGTGAGACTTAGCTGTTCCTCGTCAACCTCGGTAAATTGCTTGACGACTGGAGCAACATCTGAGGTGAGACAGCGTTTTCGCTTCAAGTTTCTGGCGAGGAAGCTTGTGGATCGCTGACGCTTCGGGTGTCTCTCCATGTTCGCGGATGGGTAGAGTCTTTGAGATCTGACGGAGAATTTGAGAGGCGCTCTGAGAGATAACGAGAGAAGATTTGAGAAGAGGCCTTTTTTGTTTTTCTTTATAATACCAAAGCGTTGTGGCGCTTCAGGGAAATTTTGTTTTTCGTTTCGGAGGCAACTTGAAATTGTTCCCTCGTGTCGTTCCCTCTTGGAGGGAATTTAATATTCTTCTTCCCTTTTAGATTTTTAGTCAAAAGCGTATTTATTTCTTTTGCCCATTTGGAACTAATATTAAATCCTCCTTGTTCAAACCACAAAATTGAAATAAAGGACAGAAAAAAAAATGGTGAAATTATCATATGATATCTAGTCTTGTTTGCCTCAAAATTTTGATTATTCAATAAGAATTCTAATCAAGTATTTGGATATTATACTTCTTTGATCAATCGAAATAACAATCTTCGTCTCAAATATATTGATTTTAATGATCATATATTCATATTATTTTACATGCTTTTCTGAAATTTATATAAACAAGGTAACGTGATCAACACGTTTTTTGTTTTTTAAAAATGTTCCCGCGTTTCTTTTGTAGAGAATTTGTTTTCCAGTTTTGTTTTTCAATAGTAAAAAAAACAAGTTAACGTGATCAACACGGTTTTCATTTTGAAAATGTTTTCGCGTCCCTTTCGAGGATATTTTTTCATTTTTAGTTCTTCGCTCGTAAACAAACTTTTTTTCTTTAAAATATTGTCCAAGCACACGAATTATATATTACAAAAAAAAATCGTGCTAACTAATGATTATATTTTGCTTCAAAATTTTGAATATTTAGGAAAATTCTAATCCAGCTTAGCTTCTTCATTCATCGAAAAAAAATCTTGAATTCACATATCTTGATTTTAATGACCAAGTATTCATATACAAAAATACAAAATACATTATAACTACCAAAAATTTTGTAAATATATTTTTATAAGTTGAAAATATATAATTTATGTCGATAAGGTAACGTGATCAACACGTTTATCTGTGATATTTTAACTTATCATTTCTTATTGTTTGGAGCGTGAAATCTCATTCTCGGTTTGTTTTTCTTTTCAATTGTTTGTAGAATGACCATATTTGTAATACATTACTTTCTTTGGGTACAACATTGGTGACTTTCTTAAATGGTTTTAGCTAGTCCACTAAATTGGATTATTGGTGCCATACTCCTATACTTGAACTCGACTTAAATGAAGCCAATTGCTACAAATAATCAAATCATAGTTTTTTTTTACATATTTTGTAAATTTATATAAATAAGATAGCGTGATAAAAAAACAAAGGTAACGTAATCGACACGTTTTACGCTCTGTGGTGTAGATACGAAAATTCTTTTTAATTCAACACATTTGTAATACGTTACTCAATTTACTGGAAGAAAAAGTCGTGATATTTTCTCTAGTGGTTTTGGCTTGAGCTAGACTTAAACGAAACCTATTGATATATATAATCATATAAGCAGCAAATAGCCGCCTGATTGTTGAGCCCCGAGCTTGCCTATTAATTCACAAGCCATACAATCATAATTAGTTGGGAAGAAGCCTAACAAACCCGATGCAATGTCGAGATCACGGTCTGATTTCTTTGATACTTTCATGCTTGTGATAAAAGTGGAAGAGCGTTGTTATGCAACGGCTTATCTCCTACATGAAGGATACAATTTATGTTCTGATCTCTTAATCCGATTTTCTTTTTCTTTATTATTTATCTTTTTTTTTTTTTTGTGATTGGTTTGTATGGTTAAAGTAAACCGACTGAATTGTACTTTACATTTAATTGAACCAGAACCTTCGGATTTACTAAGAGGTTCTCTCGATTCCCATTATATCTGAAGGGTGTTGTAGGGATGGTTCGTGATAATAATTCTGGAGGTTCGAGTAGGCCATACCGTAGTCTGAAGTCTCTCATCCAGATTACATGAGATGCAGAGATGGTGGATGATACTTAAACGGATTCTCAATGGTTGAAGCGAGAGCGGCAATAGTTTCATCTTTTGGAATCATTCTGAGTTTTGCAGTGATGTTCTTCCTAAATTCTCGTTAAGAACGAAGTTGTTAAAATCCACCTTCATGTTTGTATTCCATTTTTGTTGGTAACATTAAACAATCTTTTTGGAAGGAAGCAATCTTTTGATATTTTTGTGATGTTGTAGGGCTTTATAAAAGTTGAGTCTGATCAATGGGAATATGAAAACGATGATTCTGTGAGAGGTAAACCTGAGTTTAATAAGAGGATACAGAAGCGGTTCCTGGCTAGTCTATCCCCTGAAGCTTTTGTTTTTAAGAGACCAGCAGAAGCAGCTAGAGTAGTAGAGAGAACCAAACTATACAACGGAGAGAGCTTTAGCAAAGAATCTTTCAAATCTCACTTTATAAATAATCACCACTCTTCTTCTCCTTCCTTCTTTCTCTATTCATTGTTTAACCTGTTTCTTCTTCTGCAATAATCCTTTTGTTAGAAAATGAGGCCAGAAGTTGTTCTGTAATCTTCAGCATTGTTGTAGACTTGTAGTTAACAAACGTGAAACCTCACAAATAAAAGGAGTGAATGTTCGTAATTACCAGTTTTTATTTTTTTTTTTATCTCTAGCAGTTTTTTTTTTTTTACACATTTTAAAATCAAGAAGGAAAAAAAAAACAGAACAGGGGAGCTAGTAATGATTGGAGCTCGCGTCTTTTTTATCACGACACCACTACAGAGATCATCAATAACCTTCTTCTTCCCCAAGATCCCGACCCGACCCGTTTCCAGATTTTCGCCCGCTACTAGACCACCCATCGTCGCCATGAGCACCACCACCACTAACAAAAGCCAAGAGGAACTCGATTCCATTTTCAAGCTGAAACGGGTCGTCCGGTCCACTGTTCGCAAATCCCTAAAAGCCATGGACCCTTCTCTCCGAACCCAACAAGGTTCCATCTTTTTTTCTTTCTCGTTCCCCTTATATTTTTTATTTTTATTTTGTTCTTCAAACAGATAGTAAGCTCAGGTTGCCTTGAATTGTAGATGATGCTATTCAAAAGACTGTTCTTGAAGCTCCTTGGTTCAAATCATGTCGGGGTTTGTGTGCTTACATTAGCTGCAAGTCGCTCAACGAAGTCGACACTTCTAAAATCCTGTCTGAGATTCTTCAACATCCTGGTACTTCTCTCTATTTGGAATTTTCATTGTCATGAGATTAATAAGAATGTTGAGTTCTCCTTTGTACCAATCAAAATTGAAAATGGAAGCCTTTTACTGTTTGATCACTCATCACTTGGCTTACTAGCATATCCCTCATTATTAGGACAAATGAGATTACATTTCTCTGTATACTCAATGCCTTTAATAAGTTTGGAAATTGAGATATGCCAGTAGCAGAACCAAACTAAAGAACCTAACATAGGGATGAAAATGTTATAAGTCACTTTGCACATTGTCTCTCATGAGTTGCCTATTCCATATTTTGTTGTTATTTCGATTCAGATACTATGTCTACGAAAAAGCTATATGTCCCTAGGGTGGAGGATAAGAACAGTAACATGCGAATGTTGCATATATCTCATATGGAGGACCTCATTGCAAATTCGATGAACATTTTGGAACCAGCTCCTGTTGATGCCCAAGGGAACGAGCGTGAAGATGGTAGTCTTCTTTTTTCTATGTTGCCACCACTATAAGCTTCACATAATGAGTGCAAGTCCCCACTCTCTTGAAACTAAAACCTTTTTTTTAATCTATTGACAGTGTTGCAAGCAGATGAACCCATCGATTTGTTCATCTTGCCAGGTATGAAGGAACCGTTTCATTTCCAAAACTTTTCCTTATCCCTGTATCTAAGCAGCTTTTATCATCAAATCCTTGTGTCCAGGTCTTGCGTTTGACAGATGTGGACGACGTTTAGGTCGTGGAGGTGGGTAAGTTTTGCATTGACCTTAAGTTTTCTTTCCATAATGTATCTATACTTCTATAGATTCATACTGAGGCTACTGCTGAAAATCTAAAAGCAGTATCATATCTGAACAATATGAAGCTTTCACTGAGTGTTTTTTGCCGTTGGATTATTGTAAAGAGATTACACAAATATAAGTCTCACTGCTTCCCTTACCTTCTGTAATTACACATAATCTTGCCATCCCCACAGAATGTAGTTTGATACTTGCCTAGAAATTGTTTGTCACGCTCTAATCTTACCTTCTACTTGTTTATATGGATAAATCATATGGGTAAAAGCTACTACGACACTTTCTTGAAGAGATACCAGGACCGTGCGAAGGATAAGGGTTGGAGATATCCACTTATGGGTATAGACCACAATCAAACTGATACTACAACAGGTTTTCAATAGAAAGATAAGCTAATCACTGTTCTCTTTTCCCTACGGCAGTTGCATTGTCATACTCGCCTCAAATTCTTGAAGATGGAAGTATTCCTGTAACACCGAATGATGTTCTGATCGATGCCCTTGTGACACCTTCTGGTGTAGTTCCCATTACCCCTCGTGCTACTGAAATGTACGCCACAATTATTTTTGCTTTCTCTTAGATCTTTTATTTTGTAGCTGACTGTGTTGTCTGATTCTCTATGTTCTTAGAATGTGAGCTCAGGAGCTTGTGTTTGGAGCTGACACTCGGATAATATGTTGGGAGGCACTTGAATTTGCTTATTCAATGTCAGCTTCTGTAATTGCGACTAAAATATTTTACTATACTCGGTTTGAGTCTTGTTCTTGTATGATGAGATATGAAAGAAGTTTAATCCAATGGTCTCTCACCCGTTTATTTCATATCAAGTTTTCGTGTGATAACAAGCTTTTTTATTGCACAAGATGATACTGGTTCTTATGTTCTTTTCTTGAGCTTTGCTCATGGGAATTTATCTGTACTCTCAAATCTTTATTCAATGTAAAAACAAAGTAGTGAAAACATCAGTCTTTCTTATCTTTTTAAAGTATTACAGCCATACACATATAAGAGTGTAGTCCTTTTTCCTCTTCCTTTCTATAAATAGCAAAACAAAAGTAGGAAGGAAAACTAGGAGGAACAAGAAAGCATGCAAACGCCTGGTCTATAAGCCCAGGCTGGAGGCAACCGAGCATATTTCTCCATCCCCGGCTGTTCCTCATAAGGCCGTTTCATTAGACGGATCAAATTGTTGACTTCTGAGAAATCACCTTGTTCAGCTGCATCTATGGCGCTTTGGCACAGATAGTTCCTCAGAATGTACTTTGGGTTCACTGAATCCATTATTGCTTTTCTTTCTTCATCTGATACCTCACCACCACCCACCTGCAAATTTAAATCCACACACAAATAGGAGTTCCATAAGCCAGGGAGATACAGCCATACAGGGATAAACTGTGTAATTGTAACTTTGTGGAAAGCACAATTAGAGTTTAAGAAAAACTGGAGACTGAATCTTTGAGGGAAAAAATATAAGAATTTTTTTAAAATACCTCTTGTATATAGCTTCGCATCCATTTGATCCATGCTTCTTTTCTCTCCTTTCCAATGTCCAAGAGGACAGCTTTTAAGGGTTTTAACAACTCATTTTCAGGTGTGTTGGGATTTGCTTTTACATTTGCAAGAAGCCGGAAGAAATTTGTGTAATCAACTTTATCAACAGACATATTGTTCAGAAGTTTACTAATGACCTCCTTGTTATACTTGGAAAGACCAAGCTTCTTTGACATTATGGCCTGATACTCATCCATAAATTTATCACCGTACCTGAATCACAAGTCCCTCAGCTACTTAGTTAGTTCCTAATTTGTAGTTAAGAAGAAAGCTCCAAATAAATAATGACAAACAAAGTTACCTCTCCATGGCGTAATTCGCCTCCTTTTGATTTATCAGCTGAGCAACCGCCAAGGTCTTAGAAAATTGAGCAATATTCCACAAGCCGATATCAGGCTGATTTGCAAAACAATATCTTCTTCCTGGGAGATCCGTCGTGTTTGGGGTGTAACTTGGATCAAAAGCATCCAAGAACCCAAATGGGCCATAGTCGATGGTTTGACCCAAAATGCTCATATTGTCGGTGTTGAGCACACCATGGGTGAAACCTACACCTTGCCATCTGGCAACTAAGGTAGCTGTACGCTCAGCAATTTCTACGATCCATGCTAATATTATACAAAAACAGACGAGTTAGTTCAATCTTGGCCATTGATACAACCATTGACGATAGCAAAAGTATAGTAAGATATACAAGTGTCAATGCTGATTCAGAAAAGCAAAAACTGGCATCTCATGTAGCATTTTAACGAATACTCCATTAGGTAAATACCTGCATACTTGTTGGAAGTTAGATCCACAGCCGAATCATCTTCATCACCAGTTTTGAAAGATAAGCTATCGCTTCTATCCATGCTCTCTATGTGAGGGAAATGATGTCTAATGGCATAGTCTGCTAACTTCCGAACAATATCAAGATCCTCTTTTCCTCTAGAAGCATGTAGTTGGTATGACCCAAAGCGGAGAAATGACTGCGAAACCCTGCAAACGATAGCGCCAGGTTCTTCCTTTGGATTGCCACTGAAAACGCACAATGCAAAACAATAAGAGTAGTCAACCACCTAGAAGCATAATTTATAAATAAAACTTTCTCTACTGGAGGCTTAGTCAATCATGGCCATGTGCAGTCCCAAATTCTATGAGGCCTCATTTTCTTTAAACTTGTCGGAGACGTGAATTTTTTAAGGAGGAAGAACATAACAAAGGAACAAGTTAGACAATGTTGGAAGGTTTTGGACATACTCATAAAACATGTCGCGAGTGACATCTTGACCTGTGGTGAGAAGACAAAGGGCACGCGTTGTAGGGATTCCAAGACAATGCATAGATTCACTGCAAAGGAACTCTCTGATGCTACTACGGAGCACTGCAAGCCCATCAGCAAAACGGCTATATGGAGTCCTACCCGCACCTTTAAGCTGAAGTTCCCACCTTTCATTTTTGGAGTTCAAAACTTCTCCCAGAGTTATGGCACGACCATCACCAAGTTGTCCAGCCCACATGCCAAACTGGTGTCCTCCATAGCATTGAGCATAAGGCATTCTGTGACAAAAATTTATCAATATCTGAGTATAGAGACTTTGGATTAAGAAGGTTGCACTAAAATTCAGATTTGGATAAGGGACACTTACGATCCTGGCAAAGGTTTAGCACCGGATAACATGAGAGGGAAATCTGGCCTTTCAAATCTGAAAGTTCAACAGAATTTTGCGTTTCAGTCAAAAGTAAAAAGAGAAAAGGCTTTCGAAATAGCAGCTAATATTAAGGTGTAACACTCTTAAGACTTTAATGTCACAATTTCATATTATATGAGACATAAATGGACCAAACTGAGCCAAATTCTCTGATAACCGTGAAGGTGAATTGGAAACAATGGCATCAATTCTAACGAATATTTGCTATTTGTGTCTAAGTCAGTGAAAAACCAATTATCTTCAGCACCAAACAACACTCAGACTTTAGTCTGACCAATGGTACAGAATCAAACTCACTCTTTAGGATCCAAATCCAAAAGCTCTGCAACAGAATCAGACCATGCTACAAGTTGAGGATCATCTACTTGCACTGATGGGGAGACTTTTGAATAGCAAGCATGCAATACCTGCACATTACAATAACCAATCAAAATCCGGATGCCCAAGTGGGAATTATATTAATGAGTACTGAGACATAATGTCCCTAAGGAACGCAAATGTAGATAGCTTCCAATTTTTACAGTCTTCAAATGGGCAAATAAGAAGCAGAGAAAAATTCAAATAAAATAAAATCTTCAGCCTGAGTACAATCCACTCTACCAAAAGTAGAAAATACCAACTTCACCGAATAAAACACAGAAAATATAAATTTTTTCTATAAACATAAAAAGCAAATCAGCAATTCTCTTATTATCTCCGTTCAAGATCGAATTATACCTCACGCGAGATAACATCGGTTCTGGGATCACCAGGCAGTTCCTTAACAAAGGAGTGGTCCCAATTAAAATCTTCAAGCTTCCGTTTAACCTTACCACCTTCATCAACAGCTCCCAGAGTTTGATTCTGCAGATCTTTCGCTAAAGAATCAGCAGCTGAATCCGTTACCGGCGTCGGAGACGAAGAAGAAGCCGGAGAAGATTCCATCCGACCGAAGGAAGAAGATCGAGAAGGGGTTAGTCGGAATTGTCGGCGAAGAGAGGGACAAAAAGGGATTTTTGAAGTTGAGCTGAAGAGATGAAGCGGTCGGAGGTGGAAGAGAGACGACGGACAACACACACGCAACAACATTTCTTCTTCCTTTTTCGCTTCTTCACATTTTTCTATTGAAACCTGTTTAATTTTTCAATTTTGGACCGAACCGACCTTCCTTGGTTTTCCCCGGATCATATCGATTTCAAAATATCGGTTTACTTATTATTATTCTGTTGTTTGTACTTTGTGTATCTGTATGACCAACACGAATATGGTTTTGTCTGAAATTGTTTTGTAACACACAGTACTGTTGGTATGAAAGCGAACCAAAATCCGGGTTTAAGACAGAACCAAAAGAGATAGGAAGTGAAACGACAAAAGTTGCCGTCGTTCGTGTAACTCAAACCAACCTATCAACTGAGAAAAAATTAGGGCACAAAATAATGTGGTTTCACGTCCGCGACTCATAGATCCTTCGGAAAATTCATCACGATTTGTTAATTCTCCAATTTCCGCGGCGTTTCCTTGTTGCTTCCTGGAGATCTAACGTTTGTGAATTCCAATTGGGCCGAGAGATCATTCCTACAAGAGTTCGTCCTTGTTCTGATCTTGTGATTTTATAGATTTGTGTTGTCTGCTTTGCTTTCTCGCTCAAATCTATGATCTTTCGGGAGTAATTTTCTCGATGGTTGATCAAAGATTTCGAGAATAGATCGAAAAGAAGGTATTTTGCTTTTTTTTTGTCTTACATTCTTCCTCCGCAATTTAAGTTTTGTTCATCTTGAAAGCTACCATTGATGTGCCTCGTTTCGTCGGAAATTAGGGTTTAGGAAAGTGTTGTTCTTTGGTTAGAAATATTTTTTTTTCATATAGTTAGTAGAAATTCAATTTCTTTAATGTTCAGAAGGAACGAGCTTGCAATGAATTTTCTTGATTGTTGGAATTTCTGTGTAGCTTGAGCTTAAGAACTTTGACCTGCGTTTTGGATAGTGTAATTTGCTGTGTTGAGGTTTAAAATTCAAAAGTTAGTGCTTTTCGTGCTCTTGAGCGTTCCAGTTTTGACCTGAAAAGTGAACAAGGTCTTAGCATGCTTTGCATGAGAGTGAATGTGTTTTGGCTTTCTCCTCTTTTTGAAGTTATTTTCTTTGGTTTTGCAGCTCGTGCTTTGGTACAACAGCCAACTGGACAGGTCTCATCCCACGTTTTGAGTTCTTAGGTTCCCTGTAAAGAATATAATCAAGAGGACACAGATGGATTACCGACCTTCTGATAGTAGTGGTCAGTCTTATGTTCTTTCAGTGATTTTCAGTCTAACCGTTTCCTAACTACTTTGCTGTCAGTTTTTGTCCCTAACCTCTCTCTTGTCCTGTCCCCAGTTGGGGCTTTTATTTTTGTAAATTTGTTCAATGCTTCTTCGGCTAAAAGTAAAGTTTATTTTGCTTGAGTTTTCTTCTCCTTCATTGTTGTTTACTGACTCTTTTTTTTTCCCGTGATTTAGTATGTTTGATTGTATAACTGTATTTGTTTCTTGATATGTTGTTTTCTGCCGGAACTCAGGTACGGATGATGACCTGCCACCATCTCATCAAGGTAGATACCAAAGA